TTTTTTGGTCTTTCTTCCTTCCAGACTGGAGACCTGCTGTGATGCTGGGAGCTATAGATTGTGCTGATTTTTCCAATAAGAACATCTGTTATAAGTTTGGAATAAAGAGCTACCCTACTGTGAAGGTAAAAATTCTGGTGGTGAGGGTTACCATTCCTGTTCTCTACATCCGGCATGATCTTGGATAATTGTAGGCCAGCATCCCAGAAGTAGCTGATCTAGATCTTTTTCCTCCATTTGGAACCAGCATTAGATTGCTGAGCACAACAAAGTCAGGTAAAGAGACATGCAGTACCATCTATCTGGTGCATCCTGTAAGGCAGTTAGAAACACTTGTACCTGGTGGTCTCTCAGGTGGGGCAACTTGCAGCATCCCCAAACTTCCTTTTGTGTCCTTTTAGAAATTTGTGTGGCTGAATTCAGATGGCAAACTCTTCAGAAGTGCTACATGATTTCTAGTTGGATTTTGGCAGGAAAAGAAAAAAAAAGAAAAATTGCCACTACATACTTTCATGATGTCACTAACTTACATGGCGTGACCCCTGGCCACCCATTGATCTAGAACAGGGGTAGTCAACCTTTTTATACCTACCGCCCACTTTTGTATCTCTGTTAGTAGTAAAGTTTTCTCTAACCACCCACCAGTTCCACAGTAATGGTGATTTATAAGGTAGGGGACAAAACCCCTACCGCCCACCATGAAAGCCAGAACGCCCACTAGTGGGCGGTAGGGACCAGGTAGACTATCACCGATCTAGAGGTTAGAGATTATTTGTACTGTGCAAATGTGCCTCTTACCACAGCCAGAAATAGACATGGATCCAGATTGCAAGTTGCAGAAGACAATCCAAAGAGCTCCCTGTCCACTGCCTTGCAATTCATAGGCCAAAATGAATCCCAGATAACAGGGCTAGAGGGTGCCCTAGTCATCACTAAAGACTTTATTCATGAGGAATCAACCATTAGACGAATTGTGACGATTTTGTCAGTGAAATCATGTACAATTGGTTATAATAGCCAAGTGGGAAATTTCTCTCTCCAGTTTTCCCTGAAAGAGAATTAGAAACCCTGAATAGGGGTGACAGCTTACTGTCTCAATCGGGGGGGAGGGGGGGGGAAGGAGCTTACTTTTCCTGCTTTACAGAAGACCATGCTTTGTTCTCTTAATCACTTTGAGATAAAAATGAGCTCTGATATATGCTACCTACATGTTCCGGCCCCGAAATTAGAGAAACCATTTGTTGCCACAGAGGCCAGGAACTTCTAGGCTTTGTTAGAGCCATCCCCCCAGCACATTAGGGTTGAAATCCCCTAACGGCAAACAATGGGGGTTCACTACCAGCCCTGAGACTACTCCAAGCATCCCGAGGAAGAATCCTGCCCATAAGATCCCCAGCTTGTCTCCACAGCTGCAGTATCTCAAGAGCAAAGTCCTTGGTCACAGGTAAGTACCACATCAAAGACAAACCATCTCTGACCTTGGTGCTGATCTTGCTGAAAGATACAAAAGTCAGCTGAAGGTATTTCAAATAAAGGAACTTGGTTGCCCCTGCCCAGCCAGGTTTCAGGTGCCACCTCTTTCCCAAACAGTTTGTGGGTGGAGGTGATTTTTCTGCAATTTGTTTCCACCTTTAAGCCAAGCTTCCAGCAAACTGGCCATGTAGCCTCTAAGGATGAGTGGTTGGGTTGGAAGTTGAGATAGCCATCAATTTGGAACGTAGAAGTTTGCTGTACACTATGGATTTTATGGATTAGACACAACTTGTATTAGGTTACTTCCATATTGTTGGTTGGTTAGTTGGTTGGAGCCAGTGCGTACTTCTGAGATTCAGTGTAACTGTTGAAAGGAATGATATACCGTGATGGTAAACACCCATGGATTCAATTTTATATCACCAAGGAAGCTGCATAATTGGGTGCCCTTCAGTAAATCTGCCTCTCCTAAGTCAAAGCTTTCTTTTGTTGAAGGTACATGAGACAGTATAGCACCTAGTCCTGGTTGTTAGGACATTCACTGTAAAAAAAGAAAAAGAATAGAACCCTACTAGCTTAATGTTCATGGGAAAAAGCAAATAAATTAGGCTTGCAGAGAGAGGACTGATTTTAATAGACAAAGATGGTAATTCTCTTCTTAGGATTTGTGGTCCTGGATCTGAATTAATCCTCACTGTGCAGTTATTTAACATGAAAAGTAATCTTATCCATCTCCAGGAACTTGCCTTTTTTAAACTTAAGTTTCCTATTTACATATATAAGCCTTGTTCCTTTCCTCTCTTTCTTGGGTTTACATTCAGTTTTTGTTATAAGATGATGTGGCATTTTCTGCTTCCTTTTCCTTGTACTTTGTTAAATCTCTAAAGCCAAGCTCTTGATTTGTGTACATTTGATCAGGTGGAAAGTACACAGCTGGCAGGACATGCTATAAACCTTTCCAAAAGAATCAACATAGGAAAGGGAAGGCATATTTGCTTAGTAATTCAGTTCTGTAGCTTTGCCCTATCCAATGGCACTGGCAGCATAGGGATGAATTTTTCCCACAGAACAATTAGAAAACTTAATTTGCAGTTTTATTTCAAATGAGTGATAAATATATTTTGGAGGTGATATAAAATGGGGCAAAAACAATAAATACATCTTAGCACACACACACATAAAATCACATCCTCATGCTCAGATATGATATCTGCACTAAGGGAATGTAACTGCCTGAGACAATATTGTTTAAGATTTTGTAAAACAATTTTATTGCAAACCAGTTGGAGAACGCTCTCTCTGTGTGTAACAAACAATTTTAAAGAAAATAAAATAATGTGAGAGCATATCAATTTTTTAAAAATGAGGGAAACAGGAAGGCAAAACCAATAACCTAACAGGACCTGGGTGAAAAGAGAAGCTTTGGGCAGGTCCATCCCATATGAAAATATGTACCTTTTTTTCCTTTTTACACTTCCAAAAGCTTGGGCTTAGGTTGAACATGCCCAGAGGTCAAGAAATATTGGAATATAATTTGATTGTGGCTAGAAGAAATAACAAAACAGAAAATTGAACCCAACTATTTCTATTAGGATAAAAACAGAAAAATATAATAAAAAAGATAAATACATTATGCTACATATCTTAACAGCTGCTAGGATTTCCTACGCACAATTTTGGAAGCAGGAAAATATACCATCAGAGGATGTTTTATAAAAAAAAAATAGACTGTGCAGACTGAAATTAAGAGAGAGTCAATATATTAATGTCTGGGATACCTGGTATAAATGGTTTAAGAATAAAAAGAAATCAAAATGGCAATTAAGTAAAGAATAAGAAACTGTAAATACTTATATCTATATTTATATCTATACTTATTTATATATTAAGTTGAAATTGTATAATGAAAGAAATGTGTATATAGAAAGATGATAAGGAAATGTAAAAGATGTCTTGACGTTGATATAATGATGTATAAAGTTTTATTTTATGTTTTTAAATTTTGAAAACTAAATAAAATTTAATAATTGTTTAAAAAAAAGAAAGAAAAGAGAAGCTTTATAGATCCTTACAAGGTATTCATGTAGATGTGCTATGAATTTGGGAAGAGATGGGAAATATTCCAGAATGCTGCCCCTATCATAAGAATTAGGGTTTGGGAAGGCATAAAAATACCTTGAAGAGATAGAATATATAGTGACAACTGTTTGTCTGATTTTTGGCCAAATATGATAACGTTAGGAATTATCCTTTCTCTGGAGCGTATAGAAAGTTTTCAGCTAAAATTGTAGCTATGAGACCATGTTCCTGGGGTGGTGAGCACAGGGAATGTGAAAAACAAGGAAAGAAACCCCCCCCAAATTCCTTCAGCTCCCTGATGGTTCCTACAAAATGATAAATCATAAACTGTGCGTTGGAAAACTACCATGGTGAGGTTCACAAACACACATACTAAAGCAGATCAGAGATTTGTATGGCTTAAAGCTGTGTGATGAACCAATTACTGGTTCATCTGATCCTAGCAAGTTTATATTTCTGGCATCATCTTTTAATATTTGCAACTACATGAACTATTCTTTCATCTGGCATTTTTGCTAAGAAATGGATTATGTCCGTCCGTCCCCCCCCCCCCCCCCCCCCGGGAATGCCTTTCCAGTTCTGTCATTACATCTTCCCTATGAAATGACCAACATTCTTTGGTTGTTCCTCTGCTGGTAAAAATGGGGTATTTATTCTGGATTTGTGGGAAATGCCCAATCCGGCAAGGAGGGGGAATCAAGTGGGGAGTAATCCATGAATTGTTTGCAGTTGCAAGAGATCCAGGACTTCCCCCGCCCAACTTCCACCTTGCCATCCCCACACCCAAATTCCAAGAAACAGTATCTATCTGTTCCCAGAGGAAGACAAGCAGTCTGGGGAGAATCCTGTATTATGGGTAGAATTGTTTGAACTTGAACGCCTCGTGTGTTGATTGTTGCTTGGGCCTGACAGGATCCCAGAACAGAATTCAGTAGAATTGAAAGAGGCATTTTAATTTTAATTTAACTTGAAAATAACAATTCACAGGGATTTTAAAAAGTATTATATATACAATAGTTTAACAAAAAGACAGTTTTTAACAGAAAGATATGAATGGATTGAATCATTGATGAATTGATAATGTGACATCAAGTTGGTGTTGAATTTTAGTGACAACATAGGAAGATTTTCTTCATGATGATCTGTTTTTCAGATCTTCCAAAAGTGAACAGAAAGGGAAGATATCAACAAAAAACTGTCTTGGTAATTTTCTTCCATCTCAATTTATATACTTCTCTCCCAGTTTGTAAGCTGATGGGTAAGAACTTCAGATTACAACTGGGTAATTGTGTTTCTTAACATACTCCAAAAGCAACATTTAAAAGCAAAATCTAACTGTGGTTTATTTCTTTCCAGTTTTTCAAGGTGTCCTCCCAAAAACCTGAGGATGGCGTACAATTCAACAGTATGTACCATATACAGAATTCTTGCCAGTAAAGTGGCAGTTAAATAAACTGTCTCTTTCTATCTCCAAGGAAAGTCATGCTAATCAAAGAGAGAGATGATCCACCATGTAATAAGACTGTTATTGTATTGCAGTTTCTTTGAGACGTTTCGTTCCTTTCCTTATACCTCTTGTTACATATTTTATTTGGGCAAGGCCTTCTCAAATCAGCAAATTGGGACTTCCATTTCGGGGTGCCAAAATTCTGCATCCAGATAAATAATATGGGTTATTATAGGTAAATCAGAACCTGATTAACTTATTTAGAAAAGAACATATGGCTTGACTTTCTCTTGTGGATTAATTCAAGGCTTAACCTTGTTCAGAATAATATATGCTTTCTTTTTGCTTTAAAAAAATAAACTATAACCAGTTGTGGTTGGGTTTTACATTTCCAAATAAACTGTGTGAGTACTGGCTTATTTTCTGTTTACCTGGATGAAGATCTCCTTAAAACCTAAATATTATTATCTAATATTATTATTAAGGATAACCAAGGAGTGTTTCTCTTGGAAGAAACTTAAGAATCTGTAATAAAGAATTCTCAGCATGTTTGTTAGGCTGCAATATGGACCTGCCATAGTGCAGGCAAATCATTGAATCAAAAGAAAAAGCAAAAAAGCAAAGCGGAAAGTACTAATGCGCTGCTGCATGAAGAATGCCTCCAGCAGACTGAAAGGCCAGCATCTAAGTCTTCCTATGAACTCCAACAGATGCTGTTGATTGTTTCTTGAACTATAAGCGGGTCAAACAATTATTCCTTCTTTATTGGTGATACTTGTTAGACCACATTTGTGAAGTACTTGGTCAAGAGAATTGCTCAGACTCTCTGTAGAGGAAATCCCTTTCAGGAAGTATTGTACTCTGGAATGAGCCATGTAAGAACTAAGTTGGGTGTGGCTCCATGGCAGAAGGGTTGCGTTTGAGTGGCTAGACTCACATTTACTTTTGTCCTTCAATTCTCAACTGAAAATGGAACTTGTTGGGGATACAGCAAGCATAGAGAGATATTTGCTGGGACAAATGAGCTACGGGTAACTGGAATTCACCTTCCTCTAAGTAGCTGTTCAGGGAGGGAAAAATGGCTCGGTTCCTGTTGTTCCATGTTTAGAGGTTTGACCTTCAAAAATCTATAAAGATTATTTGCATGATGTGATCATTTCCAGCGTACTCTCTCTACATGGATACAAATGATAAACTAATCAGAAAAAATGGAATCCTGACATTTAAGCAGTTGGAAAGCATGTGTTGGCAACAGTCCCCAGTATAATCAGGTGGTAGAAGCTGCTGGGACTTTGCCCATGCATGGTATCTTCTGGGGTAACCTGAATTATCTTGAGTTATCTTGACTGGTTGACTGGGATTTCACAATGATATGCTTCCTTTCCTGTACAGAGTATGAAAAAAACATTGAGTCTCTAAGAGGGACCATAATCACTTTAATGGAGATTCATGGAGATACATGGCCTTCTGCCAGCCCACCTTTGCGCCCAACAAGGTAATTTGAAAGGAGATTGTAAGACAAACTATCCCTTTTAAGTATCAGTATGCTGTTTGTTTTTCCTTCAACTCAACAGAATATGTAAAAGGGCTTTGGACTCTGAAAACCGAGCATTTAAATTGCATTAGATATTCAACATACTTCATTACAACAATTGAATAACGTAGGATAGTGTTGCCTTACACACTTAGCAGACTGAAGGTATCAGATCCCTGCACCAAAAGAGATTGTAACCTAAAATCATTGATGAGAAGGATAATAGAGAAAGGGAAAAGAAAGTAGAGGCTGGGGCTACAGTGAATCAATGTGAACAGATATACCATTTGTACTGCTAAGTGTGTGTATTATCTCTTAAAATATATATGCACCTTCCATGTTGAAAAATCATCATGGAGAATATTTTAAATTCAGCTATAAAGTCACTTGACAGTGGGATGGATGGCCTATAAGTTTAATAAATAAGTAAAATAGAACATAAAAAATCAGAATAATGTATGTCTTTAATTAAAATATGTACTATGCTGCGTAAATTGAAAGTACATGATCAATTATTTGTGATTGTCGATCTTGATAAAATAATTTCCAACAGTTGTAGAAAAATATTTTAAAATATTAGATCTTGTTTCTGTTTTGTGAAAGGTTTCTAATATTTTCATGTTGAATTAGTTTTTGAATAGTAGTAGAAGATGATCTTGAGATCACATTATCAAGTCAGAAGGCTACAGGAATTGATGGAATATTTATATAAATATTGCAAATCAGTAATGATTTTAACCAAGTTATGGGGGCAAATATGGACATAATAGTTACCAGATTGAAGAGATCAGTCTACATATTGAGACCAAAGAAAGGGGACTTAACAGAGTGCGTGAACTATCACACAGTAGACTTAATTTCACATGCTAGCAAAATAAATCATCCCACACAGATTAGAGCCTTACATGGAAAGAAGGGGGTGTGTCAAATGTTTAAAATGACTTTAGAAAATGCCAAGAAACCCAAAGAATTCCAAAAAGAGGTCAATACGTTTTTCACTGATTACCAAAATGCCTCTGATTGTGTCAGCCCAGATTCTTCTCTGCCTTGTGAATAACACTGTAGCATTGCTTGTCTTACAAAGGAGAATAGTGTCTTACTTCTGCAACCCAAGTTATAATTGCCTTTGATAAAATCTTTATTCAGTTTGATGATCTGCCTGTTTCTTAATGAGTCTGGGTGGTTCAAAATACATGAAACAATATAAAAAGAATATCATAGAAACAACAGACAATAAAACCAGGCTCCAAGAAAAAAAAAGGAAGAGCAAATGGCAAACCCCAAACCATCTTACCAGTGACTAATATCCAGGAAAGGAAGCACCAACCTCCCTAGCCCTGGGTTTGGGAGAACAGCCATAGTCTCATAAAATAAAACAAGTATGCCCTTAACTAAAAAAGCCTTTGTCAACAATGGGCAGTCAATTGCCCCTCTGTAATTGGTTACTCAATTAATTATATAGAACCCACACTTGGGGTGACATTCTGTGGCCTACCCAAATGGCATGTTCTTTTGTGCAGAATAACTTAGCTTTCCTCAGACTGGTACCTCCCCTCCAATATGTTGAATTAAAATTTCCATCTTCCCCAACCAATATGTTCTTAAGTAATTTAGAAGTTCATCATCAGGGATGGTTTCTACATTGTGTTGAGCCCCAGGAATGAAGAAAGGAGGGGGTTTCCATTCAAAGATTCTGCAATTTTGTCCTTCGCTGACAATTAATAGTCTAATTATATTTGTAATTTCTGGTTTTATTTTGTGGACAGAAATATCCATTCACAAATACACTCATATTCTCTTGTAAGGAATTGAGTGATTAGCGGAACTGACATTTCATTATTTGGTGTTGTATGTTTTGGAGATAACCATCAGCTTGCAAATTTAAAATATTACATATTATTCATTTTATAAAGTTTATAAACAATGACTCAGTAAATGATGTGTAGTTAGAACAGTGCTTCTATAAACATTGAAAGACAAGTTATAGCTTATAGTATTTGAATATGTGTTGTAACAACTTCTCATTTACTGAATCATTGTTTCTAAATCATTATGAAACTTCTACACACCTATCAAACTTCTTTATATATATAAAGTAGAGTTTGAACATTTCCTGTGGTTTTCTGTTTCTTGACATAAGACCTGACAACACATTGGGTAATCAAACCTATTGATTTCTCATTTAAAAATAATGTTTATGCATTAGAGCTGATAGTTCACTTGGAATGTGTGATGAGTTTTTTTTTCTTTTGGTGGACAAGGTTTAGAAGAATGGAAATTTGTTGAAGTGGGTAGGAAGGAAATCGTACTAAACATCTTACTAAAGTCTTACATCTTACTAAAGTCTGACTTTTTTTGCTTGACAAAGGTTTGACACAAAAATGTATTAAAATGTGATTATAAGGCTCCTGTAAGGATAAAGCCTAAAATGACTTGAATTGGACACCTAGACATGGGAGACATATGAGATTGGAGTTTAGCTGGCTGTGGGTTATCTATCTTTGCCTTGCTTTTGATTCTGGAATTAGAAATAAACTTTTAAAAAACCTCAAAACTATTATTCATAATTATATAAACTGATTATGTCTGAAAAAGCATTATTACTTCTATTCTCTTGGAAAACATTATAGGTAGTCCTCTACTTATAACTACGATTGAAACTGAAATTGTGGTCACTAAGCAATATGGTCATTAAGTGAGTCATCATGTGACCAGACCCAATTTTCTGACCATTTTTGCATTAAGCAAATTGCCCCAGACATTAAGCAAATCACATTGCCATTAAGTGAATCACACAGTTGTTAGGAAAATCTGGCTTCTCCAATTAACTTTGCTTGTTGAAAGCCAGCTGGGTTGATTGCAAATTGCAATCATATGACCACAAAACATTTCAACTGTCAAAAAAAAAAAATCAAGCCAGTCGCCATTTGCCTGAATTGTGATCAGATGACTGCAGGGGTGGTGCAATGGTTGTAACTAAGAGGACAGAAAAGCTGGAGACCAGGAATTCAACCCCCATTTTAGCCATGAAAGTCAGCTGGATGACTTTAGGCCAGTCATTCTCTCTCAATCCAACACACCTCACAGGGTGGTTGCTGTGTGGAAAATAGAAAGAAGGTGTGTTGGATGTGTTCACCACCTTGACTTATTACTAAACTAATAAAAGATGCAAATATATAAAAGCAAGCAAAAGCAAACTTTGAATTGTCATTAAATTAACAATTACCTTGTCAAATCAAATCAAATCAAGTTTATTATAGTCAAAGACCAGAGACCAGAACAAATAAAAACACTCAAGGAATATTCAGTTAAAAAAATTCTAGAATAAAGTAATAAATAACAGATAAAATCTATATTAAATAACAATTTGGCATCCAATCTGTCAGTTAAACATGGCCTAACTATACTATAATATCAACCCTTAAACTGTGCGGCCCATAGTCATTCAATACTAAAATGCAAAAGAGTAGTAATGCAAAAGGTTTGCAACATCAGTTGTTCAAATAGCTATGGTGGATTAAATAAAAGCAAGCAAAAGCAAATTTCCAACTGTCATTAAACCAATTATTACCTTGTCAAAAGGAAAAAGAAAAGAAAAGGGTCCTAATTGCCAGAGGACAGTGGTTTAGAAACAGTGGTTTTCCCCAAAGATAGGATGTGCTTTTTTCCTTGCCCTGGCTGTATATCTTAAAAAAAAACACCCACCAGAAATAATATTCTATCTTGGTTCTTTGTCCCCAACTCTATAACATGCCTGTCACTTGTTTCAGGACATGTTGTTTTTTACATTTCAATGTAAAAATAATCTTAAAATGAGATAAATCGGACCTTTTCAATGTGGGTACGCTGTCAGTCAGTACTGGGTGATGAATGCTGGGAGCGATATCAGTACAGTGGGAGGATGGCTATGTGAAGGAACAATGACGAAAGCCCTAGCTAGATTTTGTGGAGGTGGACAATTTGCACAAGAATGTTACTTTTGATAGTTGCTCTATATCTCTTGTAATACCTGTTCTCTAACAAGTACAGATGTAACAGCTGAAACTTTTTCCTATCGCTGATATATCTGTGGTAAGGAATGATGTTGCTGCTTTTATTTGGAAAAGAGGAAATAGGTCAGATTTTTTTAAATTTGCATTCCTATATTCCCATATAAGATCAAAAATCCTGTTAGATTAAAAAATGTATTGCTGTTCCCTACATTCAGGAAGAATGCTCATAAATTGGTTGGGTAAGAGATCTCCTATAGCAGGAGGCAATGGGCAACTAATTTTGCATAAGAAATGTTAATCTGTACTTGGAACAATATATAATATTCTTCCTCTTTTTCAGTGTGACAGAACTTCGTGATTTCTTTCTGGTAAACAACGTGACTTATTTGGCCTTGATATTTGACAAGGACGACTCCTTTCTGAGCAGAGAGGTGAATCTTAATTGATTGTTCAACATACACATCACAGTCAGTATTATTATTGTTTATTAAATTTATATCCTGCTTCTCTACACAGAAAACTTTGAGGTCTCTAACCTAACATTAAAATAAAGACTTGAAATTGGATTAAAACTTTTAAAACACAGGTAGATTGATATCAGTGTAAGTTCAAATAATATGATATTTGGTTTAGTGCAAATTAATACCAGGTTGTGTTTAATGTGCTCACGTTAACGCGAGGCTATAGCTTGGGCAATTGAAACGTACACAGGTGCATTTGCCGTTGGGGTTTTAGACGCTGCTAATCGTGTGTGCAAAATGGAAAAAGGAAGATTCTGTCAGAAGAAAACAGCACAAGTTTAAAAAAAGAAGAGGTTTGTTATTACCTTGGAGCAAAAATTTGGTGTAATTGAAGACATGAATGTGGTTGTAGCAATACTAAAATAAGATATATTGAAACACCCGTATACTTTTTTTGTTTTTATTTTGTTTTCTGTAACTGCTCTGTGATTTTGTTAACCATAAATTTTAATTAAAAGTATATTATTTTATCCTTTATTACAATAATTAATTGTTGTTTAAAATATTTCACTGCCTATTTGCTGATTCACTGGGCTATATGGATGGGAAGTAAAGCACAATCAGACTTGTAAGATACTGCTACATTGTGCCTGGGAAATAATTGATAACCAATTTCAGGATTTTCTACACAGATACAGTTTTGGTATTAGGTGTCTAGTAGCGCTGTATTTTGCACTAAAATTTCGGGACACTCTTGAAGGCATGGCAGGGGTCAAATGACTAATGGCTCATTGGAATGACCTTTAATCAACCTGACCAGGAAACCTGCCCCAAATGAGTTTTTAGAGCACGCTCTGATGCACAGATAAATAGGCTAATTAAACATTATGTTGTTATAGACCTATAACTTTTGTGGACATAAATAAAAAGTACTGTATATTGGCTCTTCCTTCCTGTTCCTTACTGGAATATCTTATATGGGTTAAGCACTCTGTTTGACATATTAATTTAATCCCTGATACTATCCACAATAACTATTCTAGGGATATTTCCCCATCTCTACTGGTTAATTGTCCTGTGAAGTTTTTGGTGATTCTGAGTTTGATTGTTGCTTTGCAGATGTTTCATTACATGACTAGGTCATATCAGTGCTAGTGAATGAGGAGTTTGCTCCCTGTTTATATGCAGTAGCTTGCCTGCCAGCGTTGGTGGGGGTGTGATTTTCTCCTTGGTAGTTTTACACACCATTCATTTACACACCATTCAAATGAGACCATAAAAATGCTAAGAAGGAAATAAAAAGAGCAGAGCACTTCCTTCCCAGCAGTCTGCACCCAGATAAGCAAGGATTTTGTTGTTGTTAGCTGCAAAGTCCGACCCACTGCGACCCCATGGACAACATTCCTCCAGGCCTTCCTGTCCTCTACCATCCTCCAGAGTCCATTTAAGTTCATGCCAACTGCTTCAGTGACTCCATCCAGCCACCTCATTCTCTGTTGTCCCCTCCTTCTTTTGCCCTCAATCGTTCCCAGCATTAGGCTCTTCTCCAGTGAAGAGTCCTTCCTTCTCATAGGCGGCCAAAGTATTTGAGTTTCATCTTCAGGATTAGCCTTCTAAGGAGCAGTCAGGATTGATGATCTGTAGGACTGACTGGTTTAATCACCTTGCAGTCCAAGGGACTCACAGCAGTCTTCTCCAGCACCACAGTTCAAAGGCCTCAATTCTTTGGCTCTCAGCCTTCTTTATGGTCCAACTTTCACAGCCATACATTGCAGCTGGGAAAACCGAGCAGGGATTAACACCAGGCAAATAATCATGAAAAAAACAAGACCCTAATCAAGGAACTGCTAAGGAGAACCTTTGCCCCACCCCCAATACTGTATATAAATAGGGAGGAAAGCCCACACTCACTAGCACTATTGATTTTATCTAGTTGGGTACTGAAATGCAAACAACCAAGCTCAGAGAGCTCCAAGGTTCCACAGTTTCACCTTGAACTACATGTGTTCTCTTCTATTTGTCCTGTGTTAGGACAAGTTAATATTTCTGGAGATATTTGTTTTACAGCTTTGGAGCGCTTCCTCTTCCCTGGCCGGTGCTTATTTTATTGAAAATAACCGCTATGCATATGTGTCCAGATACCATCTCTTGACAAGGTTAAATTGAAGGAAGCAAATGGTATAGTTCACAGAACACGTTTTCTCAATATGATTAAACAAAGTAATTTTTAACTTCCAATTGGTTAATCTCCTATGAAAGAATTTATTTTACATAATCCGCCCCCACAAATGAAAGGAGGAAACCAGGATAATGCGTCTGCTGGTTAGCTTTTTTCATTCAAGGTGACAGGGATATCCCTTTTATTTCTTCACAACAATTACATTTGTATGGTAAATTAGAATATAATCTCTTTTTATAAACTGTATTTCCAGTTAAAGTAAACATGGATGACACTGACAATAGGATTTTGTGAATTTGACCAGACTTTTGTTTTAATTTTTTTTGACAGACTAAGCGTGAATTTCAGATTTAAAATTAAGTAGGGAACATCAAAAAGATATTTAATTTAAAATCTAATATACATGTGAAAGGATGTAAATTCTGATTCTAACAGCACTGACATGTGGTGGCAACACAGAAAATTTCTCCATGCATGAAAAAGTGTGGATGAGCAGCTGCTGATTTCAGCTCCAAGCATCTTAGTTATTTCCCTCCCAATGTCTCTTTTTAGCTGCCAGTTTTTCTAAAGACGGAAAAATCATTTGTTCTTCGAAAGAGGAGAAGGTGGAACTAACTAATGGACATCCATTATGTTGCCCGTGTTTTTATGTACCCTCTGGCTTTCTATGCCTATTTATCTTTCAAAGTCTGAACAGAAAGACTTCTCCCATGCAGTAAAAAATATTTATAAACATAAACACAAAGATTACGCTAAAAATCTTTAATTGTGCAATCATTACGCAGAGTATATGTAATGGTATTACCTACCTCTTTTCCAGTTCAGGATTCAAAGGAGACTTTGGCAATGGATATATCATTGCTAAAGAAATAATAATGGAACATTCCAAAGAATGTGTGTGCCTCTGATTCATCTACAAATATGCAACATGATACTGTTTAGATGTGAATAACCTGAAAAAGATCAGCAAGACTTCATTGGTAGTGGTTCATGAGAATGCGTGAGAGCTGCAAGAGAAGTCTTTCAGAAGATTAAATTTTCGAATAGAGGAGGAAGAAGGTAACTTCTTGTGTCCAGCTGAGCAATATTGACTCATGCCTTGTTTGATTCTAGGTAGCACTGGATATGTCTCAATTTGAGAATATTGCAGTAAGGCAAGTCCTGCAGAGCAATGAAGAGCTAGTGAAGCAGTTCAACATCACTACATTTCCATCTGGCCTCCTTGTGACCAATAATGGTTCTTGCAGAAGCATCCCTGGGTGAGATGTTATCATAGTCACAAAATCCTCCCTGTTCTGTTTTATCTAGTACTGTTGGTAAAATACATACATTCTCTGTCGCTCATGTTCATTCTTCTTGAGTTTAAGAATTTAGGTTCCTGTAGCAACCCAGAGAATTTTTTGTGAGGACTTTCTATCCAATTCACGATTTCTTTTACATATGTTACAAAAATTGACTGTCTATTCTTAAATTTTGTTTCATAATTATTCATGTAAGGAATTTGCAGAATATTTATATTTTGGGGATTCTCGGACCAGTTCCTGTGTGAGGGGTATTATTTAGAATTTATTTTTATTTTATTCTTATTTAGAAGGTGAGCTTATGAAATTTACAGGTGACACCAAACTTGGGGGAATTGCTAAGATTTTGGAAGATAGTTTCAAGAATCAGAAGGATCTTGACGGGCTTCAGCAATGGGTCCTGTCCAATAAGATGAGGTTCGGTGGTTAGAAAAATAAAGTCCTGCATTTAGGCAGGAAAAACCAAATGCATAGGTATAGAATAGGTAGTACCTGGCTCAACAATAGCAATGGAGAGAATGAGGTGTCCTAGTGGACCACCACTTAAGTATGAGCCAGCAGTGTGCTGCAGTTGTCAAAAAATAAATAAATACAGTCCAAGGCTGCATCAATGACAGCTGTCTTTCAGTACTTGAGGACCAGTCACAGAGGCTGACTTATTCTCATGAATACCTGAGGGAGGACAAGAAGCAATGGGTGGAAGCTTTTAAAGAGATATCATATCTGGAACTAAGGAGAAATTTCCTGATAGTACGAGCATTGAACCAATGGAACAGCTTATCTCCCCAAGTTGTGGATGCTGGAGGTTTTCAAGAAAAGATTGGACATCCAGAATGGCCTTGGGCAGTGGGTCAGACTAGAAGACCTCCTTCCAATCCTATGATTCAGGCATTGCAGAAAACTGCAACAGGATAGATTTGTACAGAACCTCTGTGATCATTGTAGTAAGAGATCAGCCTGTTATATCTGTATTCATTATAATTCAGACAGCTGCATTGTCAAAACCTGTTTTCAGCCAACTGTTTGGGCGTTCGAGTGTTTTTATCTGCTAGCTGGGTTGGAAATGACGGAATCTCCACTGATGGGAGGTTCTTGTGCGTGAAACAAAAAAAAACCTGGATTTTTCTTTAGGGCGTTGCTCAGAAAGAAATCTCCTGGGATATAAAGGATTTGTGTACGGAGGGTGTGGGTATGGGATATGTCTTGTTAATTTCTTACAAAAGCATTTCAGGTGCTGTTACTCCAGAGAGGCAAGCTGTGTTCCTCTCTTGTTATTGCATCACACCCAGACCATAATTAGAATCCTCTAAGGCAGCAATATCAAACCTGGTTCTGTATAGATGTGAGGAACTGTGCCTCCAATTACTATGATAAATTTTTGACTGTGGTCCTGTAGTTTAATCTAAGTCTCCCCCAAACTAGACTTGAGCAACGTGTGTGCCACGTGTGGCCCCACCCATTTGTGGTAAACTCTTGTATCCTTTAGTATCATGACGCTAGACCTGGTATATATTGGATTAATGCCATCTGATCTACACAGTTTCTTGTCTTGTACATTCCTTCTTCCCTCTAATGATTTATATACACTGGCTTTTTTGTGGTTAGCTGCACATGTTAGGAGATTTCCTCTGAAGATAACATATAATCCAGCACTAGTTGTACTCACTATCTAAAATAAACAGTTGTAACTTCTAATGCTGCAGTGTAATATGTCAACACAGTAAATTATTAATTCATTGAGAATCTTCTTGAGAAGAAAAGTGATTCCCTAGTTGTGGACCATTCAAATTTGAGCTCCTATCTCTTGGCATAGTAGCTTGGAAGCTGAATTTTGGGGCACAACTTAATAGACATCAGAATTGTACCTTTTGATATACTTACCAACTGTAAGTTAAGTTCAACAACTGAATTGTGTATCATTAGATTCCTTTTAATTAGCATCTGCAAAATTACAACACATAGAAAGACATAACATAGCTGGTTGGCTCAACTTGTAAGTGTCCCAGCTGTTTATGAAGCACCAGTCTTCTTATTTCAAATGGGCCAATGAAAGGAATGGGAAATGGGCCATGTTTTTTTTTTAATATTTTCTCTTTCCCATATTCTTGGTTATTTTTTCTTCTGGATTTAAACTGCAATGATTAAATACCTAGAGTTCCTTTCCAGATTTCCCCATAAACCTGACTGTAAAAAATATGATTTCTGTAGTAGAATTGTCAAAGTCTGGAATGCCCTGCCTGATTCAGTTGTCTCAGCTACAGATTTTCAGTTTCAGTCACAAATTGACTTCCGTGGACCTTACTTCATACTTAAGTGGTCAGTAGAGAGGGCATGCATAAGTACACTAATGTGCCTATCGTCCCTATCATTGTATTTTTATTCTCTTGTTGTTTTTGTTTGACAAATTCCAATAAATAAATAAATAAATGTTGAAAACTCTCTGAGAATATCATGCCCCTGGTGGAGACTGACTCTGAGGAAGAGGAGGAACAGCCAACAGGGAGTGGGAGTGTGGCTCCAGAAGTGGTAGAGGAGGCTGGGGAAGGGCACAGGCCGGCTGGGCAGTCAGAGGAAGACCCAGGCCCATCCCCTCTCCATCGTAGGTCACGCAGGGAGGAGAGGATCAGGGAAAAGCGAGGTCTACTCAAGAGGAGATTACTATGATCCTCCTCATGGCTGGCAGGTGGGAGCTATGTATATAAGTTTGCAACTGCGCAGTAAAGAATTTGCAGGAGTCAATTTAGTGTTCACCTTGAAAGCATCTTTGCTGGCATTCTTCCCATGGACTTTTCTCGGTTATTTTCCTGGAGTTTATAATTACTTACCTTGGCTTGCTTCGGAACTCTCATCAATGCGGTTTGTTTTGGTTTTTTGTTTGCCTCATTATTTACTTTTGTGACTTTAAACTGTGCCTAATAAAACAGTGAAGTTAAGTTGAAGGCCTTACCGGAATTTAATGTATGTTTTGGGTTTGGGGTTATTTTGAGAGACTACGGGTCATCACAGAGAACATGGCACAACTGGGAAGGCCTACACTGACTATTGCAGTGAACAAGAACATTTATGTTTTAAAAAAAAGTGTGTTGTTAGGTTTTTAGAGCCAGGCTTTTAGGGGCTCAGGAATGAGAATCAAATCCTTCAACTTCATGCAGTAGCAAATCCATAGTTTGTGCAGGTCTTTCAGCTATGGAACTAGGTGTGAACATAGGACTTTGCTGCTTTCGTCCCTGCAACTTGTGCCCCCTTTTAGGCATAAGTGCCATAAAGAGATCCGTGGTGACTGGGGGCAGGGTTTGCATCGCATCACTTTTGACAGCTTTGCTCCCTTTAAGATACTGCCGGCTATGGTTTTATAAGGCAGTGATTCTTTTGTTATTCAGGAAGGTAATTCCACATTGAACCCAATAGAATTAGTGACTGAAAATTACTCATGCTTATATCACTGTAACTAAGCATCCTGGTCCACCATGTATGAAGCTGGCATAAATACTCTTGCATTAAGTGGACATCTCCAGGCCATGTACCTGATGCTTCAGAGGGATTTCAACTCCATTCACGTTTATCCATTTCCTTGATTTAGAAACCATTTACTGGTATTACCTTAATTTCACCAGGATTCAGGCACAGATCCCCTTTTTAGTCTATTATTGCTACTGGGCATTGCCCCAAGCCTTTTCCCATTCTTTATCATGACTTCCAATGCTTTGCGTAGACACAGTATTAAATAGCATCAAACTACCTTGTGTTTTTCTCTGGCAAAAATTATCAAGGAACTGAAAAATATTCATCCGGTGCTACCTTTTGTGTTCAGCCTTGAAACTTGTGATTCTCTGCCTAGTTTGCAGAAGGAAAGTTTTATTTCACATTATTTGGAAACAGAGATAATTGAGTGTGGTCTTCTGAAAACCTGGCAAGTGACCAACTATGTTCTGACCTACCACCTCACACCCACCCAGCTGCTCATCTCCTCCACATGCATTTCTAATTGCAGAAAAGTTCATTAGAAGCCAGACAATGGCTGGTTCTGAGATGCTGGCAGAGAACAATGGAACCCGTGCTTGGACCCTCTGGTGAATTCCTGCTATTGAATAGTGCATTAAACCACAAGCAGATGGTCTCCCTCCTCCCCCCTCCCCTACATCGCTCTTAGCAGATGATTGATGTCCACCTGGCAGTGAAGGCATTAGTGGGATGGGCAAAGGGGCATGTTGGCACTGTTGATTTCCTTAGCAAGAGGTTTACAGATGCGACAGCATTACTCACTCCTGGACCGGAGGGGAATAATTGGTGCACGTGAAATCTGTATGTTTTCTTCTGGAGTGAACTAACTGGAGTGAGGTAACTGGCTGGCCTAGAGGCGGTCATCTTGCTTCTTTCCTGCCAGCTTCACCCAACAGGAGAGGCATTGTTTTCCTTGCTGCAGAACTGGCAGAGAAGAGAATTATTTGTGATGATGCCGACTCTTGGCCATCTGCTTGCAAAGAGCACCAGCCTGAGAAAACAGAGTATAAAGTGACTGTTCCTGGTTGTGCTTCCCTGAGGGATTTTTTTTCTTCTGGTACCACTGCTTGCAAGCAGCTTTCTCTTAGGTTGGTGCTGCTTTGGGATGTGAGGGAAATTGGCTTTGTCCAGTATATAAGTCTAAAGGCTATTGCTATTAAGAGAAATGAAATGTGGATTGTTTCATCAGTTAGATGTGGCATCAGTAGGAAATAATAATATACTGACTAGCTTCATAATTACGTTGCAGACATACAGAGTGCAGGACTGTTCTTTAATTTGTGCTAAACTGTGGTAGGGAGGGGAGGTGGATCTGGCAGTTTACATGAAGGACATTCAATTTTTTTTGTCTTCTAAATTAATTATGTAGCAAAGGCAATAAAGTGAAAGTGAATTGTTCTAATTTGGGATGGATCTGCTTGGCTTGCCCTGTTATAGCTTCCTTCTAAGGCTCATTTATTTTAAGTGTTTGCAAATACTATATTGCCTGTTTTGCAGAACGGTGATATAATAATAATAATTTTAATTTACTATTCCATTCATATCCTGCCTTTCTTCTTTAATCATAAGGTCTAGAGATAGATTATTCCAATAGCCTGGACCTAACCCAGATTTGAGTGTAACAAGCCATATTCAACACACACAAAAAGAAAGATTATCAAGACCAAGTTCATTTCCTGCAAAGTTACATGGGATTTTGTCTCTGGAAATCAGACTACCAAGATATTAAACATAGTTATGTATAACAGCTGTGAATGCAGAAAAAATGTACTGCTTAGGGAGAGCTTACTGGTGTGTTTTTTTTCTGAAATTTTTAATCAGTTTGAATTAGCATATGGAGGTGATACAGGGAGTAGTTGTGAGGTGAGCTATCTATTAAAATTAATAAATAAATAACTAAAACATAGAGGATACTAAGTTAGCCAGTTAAGCACCTGAAAAAATATGGGACTTTGTTTCTCTATATAATAATTACAGCAAGACATTTGTACGCACGAAAATGAAAAGACTCACAGATTCCCACAATGAAAGAATGGATAGTGAAGTTAGTGGAACTGGCTGAAATGATGAAATTAACTACATTGATTAAAGAAAAGTCTTTGTCTAATTTTGTTTTTACATGGAAACCACTTTTGCACTTTTGCTAGAAACAGAAAGAAATGCCACATGAATTTTCGGATTTGACAATTAGAAATGTTTATGTTTATAGAATTGAATTTGAAATCAAGAGGTTAATATATTTTATGTTTGTAACTGTATCAAAGAAAGTTGGAAGCTATTCTTTCTTTTCGTTTTTCTTTATTTTTTTAGCACCTTCCCTTCCCCTTATCTTTTTCCTTCTTAATTGTTTTTTTACACTTCATCTTTCATACAAATTGAATCCAATATATAGCGTCTCTGGTAATAAAGTGTATTTGACCATTCTGGGTAACAGGTAGAACAGCAAATGATCTATTCTATGGCATATCAATTTGAAATTAACTGGTGCAATATTTTTAGTAATGGTATATACTCCTTTGTGCATTTTGATGCTTAAGGAGAATTGACAGTTCAGTTTCCTCCTTCGTAATATATCTGTTGCTCTGTGAGTTATAACCACACTGAAACTTAGAGATAGTAACTAGAAAGGACACAAATATACATTGTTAAAGTTTGTCTCCTTTCATGTTTCCTTCCAGGCTGGAGGACTGGAGATCCCAGTATACTAATTTCCTGCGGAACTTACCTGGGGTCTTTAGACGGGATGTTTTCATACCAACGGTGTCCCCCACTGCACAGTCAACAACTGCTTTTACAATTTGGAAGGTGGCAGACAAGTGAGTGCCAGCTTCCCCAAATGGTTTAATGTTTCTTCTTTCCTGGTGCTGTTTCAGATGTTCTCGTGATATAAGCTAAGACCAGTTAGTCTCACCATTCATAGTTATGAGGAACAGGGTATCTAGTCTGTCCTGAACAAGCTTATAAACAAAGAGGGGGCTAGCAGATGCAAGAGCTATACATCATGGATGTATAGTGTGCTTTGTGTCGGGTGGAAAAAATGCTTTAGAGATAGCATTGGAATATTTTCTGCATCTTTCAATGCCTCCTTAAAAAGTCTACATCTTTTCCTATGTTGGCACAGTAGGCACACATCCCAGGAAAATCTATATTTAAGCTAAGCAGCATGTTAAGACAAGTGTGCCGCATTCTTTTGGCACCTCATTAATGCCAGTGCATGTTTTCTTGGGACTGTATAGGTGCTGTGCCAGCCCAGGAAAAGGTGCAGCATTTTAAAAGAGGTCATGAGAAGTTGCAGTGAAATCTCTTCGGTCCTTGTGAAACACCTTTTCGGGGGCTTTGAAGCTAGGTAGTATAGCACATCACTGCTATACTCACGTCACTGCTATACTCATTGCTATACTCATCACTGGTTCCCTTTCAAGGTAAGCAACATAATGTAGAATTAGAAAGGGAGTAAGAATTGTAAGCCAAAGAAATTAAATTGTGAGTTTAGAAAAAGAAAACAAAATAAAGCTCAGCCTAGTTCAATGGTGGCTAACCTTTTTGGCACCGAGTGCCAAAATGGAAGCATGTCTCTCTTTCTGCTCATTTACTAAGAGTTCTGTTAGTATCCACAATTTATTTACAATTGTTTCTATCCTGATTAACTTCTAACCTTTTCATTCCATAATTCAAACCATTCATTTAATCAGTTTTTCCAAAATCAACAAATGTACAAAAAATGTTCTCACAAACAGCACAGGATCTGTCATTTAAGAATTTTGCGAAGAATGTCTCAATGCCCAAGTCACTCTTCTATTCAGCTGTGATTCAGTAGGATTTTGGTGAAATTTCAATTTGGGATTAATTTTCATCAAAATCCTACCTTGAACAGATAATCTGTGGAAAAAATCATTCCTGCATTTCAGAGTGTATTTGGGCAGAGATGACAGAATACATGACTGAATCCATTTCTATAAAAGTACGCATATAAAAATTGAAAGATGGTGAGAACTGTTTCTTGAGAAAATATTTTATTTTATTCTACTCATTCTCAAAGCACATTTATACATACACATTAAAGTAGTTAGCTCTTTTTTCTTTTGTTCAAAATAATTTTTATATTACTTGAAAGTCAAGCTGGATTACCTGATGTCATAGAAATAAGATACACATTCATAATGGATTTCACTGAGACCAACTCCAATTAAAGATTCTCTGGCAAGAAATCTTTAAAAACAGCAAATAATTTGGGGAAGAATAAAACAGTGATTGATAGAAAGCATGAAGGCAAGACACTTAAGCATTAAAAGAAACAGAGGCCTAGTTCAAATTGTAATTTGAAGGGGTATCTGGTCAGAAGGGAAATTAAATAATGGAACTGTATTATGTGCAGGATACTAACATTTGTGGACTAACATTTGTGGACTTTTGGAATTTAGCAAAGAATATGGGTGTCAGTGCAAATTTATAGAAATTAATCTCAAGAGAGATAATGGAGGACAATTAAAGTCTCATTTCTTTTTCCAAAGAAGACTGTTACTAGTTCTATAGACACAGCTTGGGCTACCTTTATATGTACCTCTGATCCCTGCTGACAAACTGGTGGGTCAGATGATGCCAAAGGAGGTGTTAGATAACATCCTAGAATTGCCATTTTATGTTGTGTCAGTTATCAATAAATTTTCCCCTTTTTTGGTTAATGTTTGTGCCACAGGAGAAAGATATACATGACTGATTTAGAATCTGCAGTGCTTTACAGTTTAAGGATAGAGGCTGCAGTATTCCCCAGCCTTGAGGGAGAGCGACTCTCTGCTTTGAAGGACTTTGTGTCTGTTTTGGTCCAGGTGAGTGATATGAAACCTTTAGACCTGAGAGACTTTCCAAACAATTCCTCTCTCTTGCTGCTCTCTCTCTCCTTATTATTCAAATTATGACCATTTGTTCAACAATTATTTGACATTAGTGTGACGCTGAACAAATGGTAGTTATACCTGGTCCCCAAAATTATGGCCATTGCAGCGCCAGCCCCCCCCCCCCCCCCCCCCATGTGATTACATTTTGGGCACATGGCAATCTGCCTGCATTTATGACCACAGGGGCGCTTCAACTCCCTCTATTTGCCTACCCCTCCCCCTTCTCTGCCATTTTGGCTGCCCTGCTGACCTTTGCCCTCTTCTTCCTGCCATTGCTGATAAGGCATAGGGCAGCAAGGCTAGTAGAGATGGAGTGCAAAGCAGCCCAAAAGAAAGAGAAGTGAGGTTGATGGGGGTAGTTCAAGAGGAGACAGTCTCTTACCAAAATTTAAGGCAGGAGAGACCAGGTTGGGAATGGTTAGTCTTTGGCTAACTAGCCAACCAAATATTATTTGGTTAATGATGGCAACCAGAACAAAACTAGACAAAAATCGTAATTCCCCCATTAATAAAGTATTACTTCTGAACAACACTGTTTCTTTACCTTTTAGAGTATTATTAATTTTGTGCAGCATCCCTGTGAACTTGACTTCACTTCATGGTGTTTCCTGAACTGTGCTCATAACACTGCTAAGCAGTATCTATGGACAATTCTGCAAAAGCAATTAGTATTCCCCAACTTTGAGGAAGATTTTTATTACTAAACATTTTTTTAATGTTTAGGTTTTTAAAAAAGTTTTAAGGCCTTTGCACAATTCAACCATCTTGTGAAATTTCAATTTTTTTAATTAAAAAAGACAGGGAGTGCCTCGCATCTGGAAAAATTACCTTTTGAAAATTGTGTACATGTTATGGAGGCTGTCGTACACTGGTTGCTATGGTGGATGAGGCCAGTCATATAATATTGACAGGAGACCAATTCATGGAGATGCTTTCCAAATTCTGCTTTAGCCTTCAAGGATATTGACTTCAGTTGACCTCTGTCTTTTTTCTGGGCAAGTGGCCGTGTTCCTAGAGAAAGCATGGAGCTACAACCCTATCATTTTCATTTTCTAAGAATCTCTCCAGGATTGTTGGAGAAGAGTAGGCGTGGGAGGGCGGGGTGGGGTGGGGGGAGGTAAGCATGTCATCAGTTTAGAGCCCTTGAGTTGCCGCGAGCATTCTAAATCCATCGCCTCCTGAATTCCATTGACCCTTCTCAGGTGCCAATTTAGTGTTGAACTTTAGTTGACCAATTTCTTTTGTATAGTGAAATACGAATGGTCCTGACAAGGATTTATGCATTCTTGGAAATAAAGATTTTGCTTAAGGCTGCGACTTTGCTTTCCAGCATGTTAGCTTCCCATGTGTGCTTTTTTTTTTTAGCAGCATGATTTAAAAACCTGTATCAGCCAAACTCTCTGTGGGCAACACATTGAGAAACAAGGGCATAAATATTTGTGGTTCTGACTCAATATAAAGATTTGTTTCTCTCTTGAGAATCCATGTTTTTCTTAGCTGCATTCCAGGATTTCACTGAATACTGTTCTTTCAAGTTTTTCTCACTCATCATTGTTTTAGAATAATTTGGGTTTAACAAAAAAGAACTGTCTAATAGTTTTGAGCAATAGAAAATAATTGGTTTGTCTAACTTTAACATGGCCCCAATTAACAGTGTCTGAGCTTAAACTAATCTAAGTAGAGGTCCACCATAAATCCCAAGGGTCTAGATTAGACTGAGAAGTCAAAAATTATTCTGAAAGAAAGCAATGGAAAATAACTTGCGTATTGTTGCCAAGAAAATTACATGAACAGAGTCCTCGGGAGCTGATCTGGATTTAGGACAATCAGACTGAATGCTAATATTGTATAAGATTTATTATCTCATTTCAAAGCATTTCTCTTATCTACTTACCCAACTTCTCCTAAATCCACTTCCTCAGAATGGCTGATATAATTCAGTGCATTTCTTTCTCTTTCTAAACAATGTCAGAGAAAAATTGAGCATGCATAATTCATACATTAAAAAGTAAAGCAATTGCATATGAAACACATGCTTGTTTCAATTCTACCTCCACGGAGTCTGAACCTTTCAACCTCAATTCTTTGTAAGTTGAATAGGCCAACCTATAGTGAAACAACTATTCAAATTCCAAATTTTCATTTCTGACTACCGCAATTCATTTCTGACTATACAATTTATTTTGAATTTATCCCTATGTTTGAGCAAGCATGAAACCGGGAGAAAAGATTTAAGCATTAACAGAACACCACATTTATTGTTTTGACTGCTTATACATTTAATGCAGTGTTTCTCAACCCTGAAAGCTTGAAAATGAGTGGACTTCAACTTCCAGAATTCCTCAGCCAGCATTGGGAATGGCTTGGCTGGCTGGGGAATTCTGGGAGTTGAAGTCCACACATCTTGAAGTTGCCAAAGTTGAAAAACACTAATGTCTTCTAAGATACATCTGCTGCTTCTCTAATGTGGATATCAAGGGAAATCCTAAATGTATTTACAAGGCTTGAGTATAGGTTCCAAAGATCAGGGCTTTTTTTTTGTTTGCTAAACTGTAATTCTTACTGTGATAGGAGGGGGATATTATTAGTTTATATGGACATAAAATTTATCTTCTTGGACAGGGATTTTCATCATTTGAAGCTATAGAAATCTTGGTTGAATATAAGTGTTAATAAGACACATGCTCTGATGTTTCAGATTTCCTATATCACATATTCACATGGGCAAAACCTCTGTGTGGCTGGGAGATTATTAAATCTGCCCTTTACAATTGCCAAAGTGGGCGGGTCTTAAAATAAGAAAAGTCCAACAGTATTTAAGTGATTTTCTGGGTAATAATTTAGGCTTTCTTTAATACAGAGGTCTCCAAACATGGCAACTTTAAGACATGTGGACTTCAACTCCCAGAATTCTCCAGCCAGCATAGCTAGCTGAAGAATTCTGGGAGTTGAAGTCCACAAGTCTTAAATGTGCCAAGTTTGGGGACCCCTGCCTGCTCTAATACTTCTGTATGACCTAAGGTTTGGCTGAGCTCACGTTGTCACTCTGTGGCCGCAGTCCAATATTAATCACCCCTTGTTTCTTATTTCCCTTCAGTCTGCATACATTAAAAATACCAGCCATATCAAATTGTATATAATTCCTGGTTTTAATTGTAGCATAAACTTTGGTCAACCAATGTTCTGAAAGAGCCCGTGACTTAACGTTCTTTCCCCCCATAACCAATTTACATTTGAAAAAGCAGAGTCAGTGTTGCATCCAATCCAAAGTGTGTTGTTAGATTTGGGCCACAAGGTGGAGAAGTCTGACTAAGTTCCAGCTACTTAACTCATTATTAGCTAGAGAGAAGTTCCACGAAAATGGTCTCCAGCACCAGTCCAAAAGCTGGGAAGACAAAACCTCTGATCCCCGGTTACCAACCCAGATTGGATCCTGTAACTCATTATTTCCTTGATCTTTTTCTTGCCAGGTTTTTCCATTTAATTACATTCCTTGGAATTTGGCTTCTCTATATCCAAAATAAAAATAAAGCTTTGGAAGGCTGTATTTTTATTACTATTACTGTTACTGTTACTACTACTACTATTATTATTAATTATTATTATTCTAGAAGGTCCAAGATCTCAACAGGCTTTCTGCTACCTAGGCATTCTCCTGCCAATCCTACTGTACTAAATTAGAAAGATAGATTTGTGTTGCTTTAATTCTCTATAAAGCATGTCTGGCTATCCATTTAAATAAGCTATCTTCAGATAGAAGAGAAATTTTTAGTTCACTTGAATTCTCTGTGTGCTCATTTTTAAAGAAATAATCAAAGAAATTTCTCCTTTCTTTCATCAACATCCATTGCTGATTTACTTTAATTGCACCCTGCCATTTAATACTGCTTACAGGTGTTTTCCTTTTATCCTTCCTCTCGATCAATATTCCTGTTTTCTCTGAACTTGCTCCCCTCCTCCAGTCAACCTGTCATTTGCCTGGCTTTCTTTTAGTGACATGGCTTTTTCTGCTACATTTTCTCCCTCCTCCCCAATTTGGAGCATATAGCTCTTTGATCCCCCCCCCTCCCTGGAGTGCTTGTGGCTTTAAAGTGCTGATGCTAATCGGATTTGAGATGACTTATTGTCAAAGTAGCTTTCTGTGATCCTTGGAGACTATTTTGGACTTAGAGTCAAGATTTGGATCTTGGCTATAAGCCCATAGGGACTGACTTGTTTGCTACTGCAGCATCTTGAACACCACTCAAAAAAACCCCTCTTAGTATTAGCAAGTAGTGGGCTGGATTTGAGAGGAATGTCATATGGCCATTCGAAAACAGGAGATGAACTACTGAGCTTACAGGACAACTAGCTGTTGTCTGTTTTCAGTGCCTCTTTTTCAAGATCTGCCACCAATAACTGGATGGACAGTGCAGAAAGATACACCCATGGCTTTTTCAACAGAGTTGGAGCTATATAGGAAACAAGGGTATGGCTCCAGTTATTCCTCCTTGCTGACTTGTGATCTCTGTGTGATTGGGTGGACAGAATGTTCTTGCATTTGGTGTTAACATTAAGCTTTTGGTGCTAAACAATGTCAAGGTCTATGCCAATAACTCTTTGCCACAATGGTTCATGGTTGTAACTGAATATTTTTCACACTGCTTTAAGCCTTATGTGTGGCAGCTAATATACTTCTTATAGTTTGAATAAGATGGAGCTGATTAGTGGTGATTCTGTTGTAATAGATTTGCTACATGTTTTAGACTTCAATTGTCTATTGTGACTTAAACTGGCTTATTTGTCAGTCTTTAGTCTAATGGAGGCTAATAGGTCTTAGATTATTTCCTTTTAGCATACAGAATCCTGTATGGTCTCTGGAATAATGGGTTTTGGACAATAAATATGAGCCTGGCTAAATGTCCTATATTTGTTGAATTTGAAATGCTTGGATGAATTCTATTCTCTCTCTCCTCTACTAGAGGAGAGAGAGAATATCATGTGGTTGATTACTCTGGTACCTGCATATGTCCTACTTGGGACAGAGGTGTTTCCCCTGCTCCACAGGTTAATGTAATATTGTTTGGTTGTTTTTTTAAACAAAATGAATTTGACATGTCATTCAATATACTCTGCATTATCACACCATGATGCTATACACACATGCTTCGGAGAATGACTCCATCTACACCTCGTAATCTTTTCCTTCCCATTCTTATTTTCAAATTCAGTATTTTGCTGGGCGGTTGGTAGTCAAGAATTTCCTTTACAACCTGGATTTATGGCTGAGACCAAAGACAATTGTTTTGCAGAGTGAATGGGAGGAAGCTCTAAAGAATAAAAAGGAGGTAGGTTATATATAAAATATATATAAAGCCCACTAGATATTGCTAGTATTTTGTCTCCAACGCTTCAAGCTCCAAGTGTAACTTGCTAAATGCCATTGTTATCATATAGTATGGAGCTGTCTCAAGATCTAAATTTATGGCAAAAGTATATTGAGTTTCATTAGGTTGTATTATGAATGATGTAAATATTTTCTGTGATCCACACACACTGTTCTGTTTAAGTTTTTCTTTAACAGTATATTGTCTTTGGTGTTATTGAATACTTTAAAAATAAGGCATTTATGCTTTTAATAAACGTTATTGATAAATAATTTGCAATTCTTGCATCGATTGGGTTCTTCATTCATTTCTTGAGAATTGAATAATGTTCGTAACAGATTAGAATTACAATTAAGGTCGAGTATTTTGCTGTATTATTTGTCTCTACAACTATCCTTTTTAACGTTCTTTACCTCTGTTTTGTTTTGTATACCATAAAAATTATTCTCCAAATTATTGGTTTGCAAGCGGCCAGCATGACCTAGGGTCAGCCGCATACTCTCAGCCCAGCCTATCTCACACGGTTGTTGTACTGGGGAAAAATAAGAGGGAGTACTATGACAGCGTCTGAATGAAGGGAGAAATATAAACCTAAGAAATAATTACATTAAAACATGGGGGAAATCCTCACTTGCCACCTTCCATATTCCCACTTAGGCAGATAATGGTCACTTTGACTATTATTTTAATGTTTTTCATGCTGCTCATCACTGAGAATTACTTATATGGGATAGGTGGTGGTATTGATTGATCGAACGGACAAATGAATGAATGAATTTACTAATCGGATGGTACAGAAACAGTGGGCAGCCCTTGCTTAATCTATCTTCTTTCTTTCTTTCTTTCTTTCTTTCTTTCTTTCTTTCTTTCTTTCTTTCTTTCTTTCTTTCTTCCTTCCTTCCTTCCTTCCTTCCTTCCTTCCTTCCTTCCTTCCTTCCTTCCTTCCTTCCTTCCTTCCTTCTTTCTTTCTTTCTTTCTTTCTTTCTTTCTTTCTTTCTTTCTTTCTTTCTTTCTTTCTTTCTTTCTTTCTTTCTTTCTTTCGTCAAGGGGAAGGACAAAAAGCCTAACTGTCCATTGTACGCAGGCAGTCCAGAAGCTGCCCATGGAAATAACCTGGGGAAGTCAAGGAGATCATGGCCCAGTGCCATGATGCTATAGAGCAAAAAGGGGAAATCCCAGAAGTAGGGAAAACATTAGGAGAATGAATGAAACAAAACAACCAGAAAAAAACAATTGTTTTGAACCCTGAACAATCCACTCTGTGCAATTCCATTGAATGGTTGCAAGTCATTCATAGTTTGGCAGAAATTTTACTCCGAACAGATTGGTTCCAAGTTGCAAATAAAACTAAATCTTGATGAGATGAATGGGGTGAGAGCTTCATATACTCTCTTTCTTAAGCAGCTCCCAGCTGCTTTTTTGTTCTATCTACCTTTTCCTCACCCCATCCTTGATTTTGTTTCTTTTTTGCTTGGACCTGACATGTTGTGGTTCATTTAGGGAATAAAATAAGGTGTCTTGTTCTGTGCACAGCCTTTTTCCTTCAATCTCCCTCCTGTCTTTCAGTTTCCAAATGCCACATTACCTGAGAGACCTCACTGGGTAGGATGTCAAGGAAGCAAGCCTCAATTCCGGGGTTTTCCATGTGGACTCTGGACTCTCTTCCATCACCTGACTGTTCAAGCATCATGTCAAAAAGAGTCTGGTAAGTAACTGCATTAAAGCTTTATATCCCATTCATCACACTGGACTTCAGAATGGAAGGTCTGGATCCACAATCATAGTCCTTGGATACATTACTCATTATGATTTTGATGAGATTGAACATACTTAGAAAACATTTTGGGAGTTGGTTCATCCCTGGCAATGCTCTGTCTTTTCCCATTCATCTCTCAGATTAAAAAATAAATAAAAGAGGAATAGAAATGACACAATTGCTCTCATACTATTTTTAATATTGCTTGTGGTGATTAAATATCTATTTCCCCCTTTTTTTGAGAAGTTATCACAAAGCATGGGATTTCCTCTTTAATTTTATTTTTTACAACCATTGCTCTGTGAGATCCCCTATGTTCATATTTGTGCGTGTATGTATATGTATAAGTATACATATATGAATATGCAGGGGTGGGCTTCAAATTTAGCAAGGGGGTCTCTGCCCTAATGACTGGCTGGGTGGGAGTGGCTGGGTGGGCATGGCTAGGTGGTCATGTGACTGGGTAGGTGTGGCCAACTTGATGTCGCTTCTTTGCCCTAATTAGCTAAGAAAGATATATACCAAAAAGTTGTTTATTATTTCATGCATTTAATACTTAAATAAAAGACTGGGTGAAACCAGGCTTAGTAGCAGTGACTCTGAGAGGGATCTTGGAATCTTAGTGGAGTTTCTGGTGAGTTACATGATCCTTATTATTTGGGAATCAATCCCCTCAGAGGCTAGTGGCTATGTTATCTGATTTTCTCAATGGCTCTCCTTTGCAAGTGCTGATTGGATTGTTTATCTAGTTTGCAACACTTTTAGGAGGTGAGAAATGCTCTTGGCTGAAGGGCCAGAAGTTCAGTTAAGTCTATTAAGAGCTTTCCCTTGCTACTTGTTGTTCTGAGGTTATTGGGGGCTCTCGGAGCCCCTCAGAGTCTTAGCTAGGGCCTGTCCCATGCCCCTGCAAGCCCCCAGCAGCCACCCCTGTGTATATGTATATGTAAAAACGTATACCATTATTACCATTTTTTGCCAGATACCAGGCTGGTCAGATAGCATCACTGAGCTTGGGATCAAGAGGACACATGAACTAGTGTCTCTGGTCCAAGTCTAGCATTGGAACCACTATGCTACTGCTATACTACACTAGTTCTACACTATTTTGTCACACCTCATCCAAATAATTGCATACAATTAATTGCTTTAAGAGAGAGAGAAGGAAGCATTTAAGTCAGAAACATAACTTACAAAAAGAAATGGTAGTAATGATATGCAAACATGAGGGAGATTTCTCCATTTATATTCAGATAATGGTCGTTTGCTCTGACAGTAAAATATTTCATTTTTAGATGGACTGCATTACCAGTTCAAAGTAGCAAAAGAGAAATCTGTTTATTTTTGATTAGCAAGTGATAATAAATTATTTTAATAAATAAATTATGGGTGAATAACTCTTAGTTGTACCTCTTTTCCTTCTATCAAGATTTTGATACCTTTCTTGATAAGGTATGGCTCTTTTTAAAAATACCAGGGGCAAATGCATTCTTCCCCTTTCATCTGTTGCTCGGCTTCAGGGGAAAAAGTCAGCTCTGCTTTGGAGAAAAAACATGATCTGAGTTCACTTTAGGAAGATAGTGATTGTTGCAGGTTACTTTTTTAACTCTTTATTTATTTTTCCCTTTGGTGTTAACAATTCTGGTTTAATTTTCAGCTTCCTCAGGTGTACCTGAAGTTCTTCCTACAATGAGAGGATACGTCCACAATTTCTTTGGCTGCAGGATGTGTGCAGAGCATTTTGAAGGGATGGCAGCTGAATCTATGCATGAGGTGAAGAACAGGGATGAGGCTGTGCTGTGGCTTTGGTCAAGGCATAACAGGGTCAATGCTCGCTTGGCAGGTGAGGATTCTGCTCCGGGCAGTCTATTTTTTGACCATTTTAACCAGTAGATATCCTGTTTCCCTAGCAATATATAGCCTTCCAGAAGCTTAATTGGTTGTTGGATTTGCCTCAGAAGAACGGCCCTTGGAGCTAAGCTGTGCAGAAAGAGAACAAGCTTGTCCAGTGAGCTTCCATGATTGAGGGTGGGCTTTAACCTGGTCTCCATGGTCTTAGTCCAGCATCTACACCATACTGGTTGTCTCACTGAACACCAAGTCTTTTGGGAGCTGGACTCCATAATATCTAAAAGACCAGTTTCCACCTTTGGAAAAAGTACTCAGTGTAGGAATTTTAAAAGAACCTATAAGGTAGTCCTCACTGTCTACGGTAGGGACAGCAACTCCATTACTAAGCAGTGTGGTCATTAAGCGAATCCCCGTGAATCATTTAGTGTGACATCAAAAGATCATGCTTTGCAATTAAGGGAGAGATTGTTTCTTGATTTAGATAGTTCCAATTATAAATGGAAGCATTTTTGAAACACATACACAGAGAGAATTTTTATTTGATTGAGTTTATATGGCACATCTGTTTCATTGACTCTAAAATAAAATAAAAACATTTTTTCTTTCTCGGAACACTTTGCTTAGAGGCCCAACAAGCCTATATTTTTGGCTTGCAGAGTCCTCTAACTCCCTGGTTCAACCCTGAGGCAACTTGAAAAGAAACCTGAAAGGCACCTCGCCACCCACCATGCTTAAGGAAACCACCCGCTCCTTCCCTACAAAAGGAGGAATTGCAGCAAAGTGTTGTAGGCAAGAGCATTGTGAGTTAACCCCTGCCTGCCATAACAAAATCAGTGAAGAATACTTGGAAGGGGGCAGACAGGGTCAGACAGCCAACACCAATTCTTGTTCTCAGAAAGGAGTCAGCAGCTGGTGGTTTTGAACCAGAGAGTTAGCTACTAAATCTTCCTCATCTTTTCTAATGGGGGCTTCTAAAGGCTGACACGTGCCTTGAGAGGACCTTCCTCCAGGACTGCTGCCCAAATGCTGTGCTTCTCACAGACAGATGCAGTCCCTTGTTCTACAGTCCGGTTTTCCCTGACGGGGAGGAGTAGGTGATTCCCCTTGACAGATGATTGTCAGAGGAGAAAGTAGAGTGACTCATTGAGGGAATCAAAGCCAGGGAATCAAAGGAGTTACTTACTCTTTGTTCCTCTTGGGTTTTCCCACCCTCTCTGTCTATCCCTAGGGACATAATTTCTGATCTTCCAAGGCATATTTTCTTCTTCTCTTTATACAGACACCCACCCACACATTTATTCCTTCAAGCCCAGGGTAAATAACAGCCAATAAACAGGCTAAATCCTCTTCAGAATTTCACCAGGGCCTTTAATAGATGCCTGTTAAAGTCAGTCTCTTAAATGCTTTGGACTGTCAACAGTCCAAGGGAATGTTGATGGCATGTCTACTAACAATAGGGAATCGTCCAATGAATATAGACAGCAAATTCTTTATTGCAAGCATTTACTAAAATTATGATGTTATGATTTCAAATATCCATAAGATGTTTCCACAATATGAATCTTTCTTTGTTATTCTCAGCAAATTCTCTGTATACCGACAGAATGCTTATCTGCATTTATCTGATCTAATCTGATCTGCTGCACCTTCTTCTTCTTATAGTCTATTGAATTGCTCTGGACTTAAAAACTATTTCAGCCCTTTTTGCCTAAATAGCAGTTCCTGCATCTGTCTGTAAAGGTCATGTTCCTTTTCCTCTATAATTAGAGACAGAAGGTTGACTTGATATAATTGGGTCTATGTCATATATATATATATATTTGGTTATTCGGGTTTTCTCCCGCATAAGATTGGAAGTATCTAGGTGACGTTTCGATGAAAGCTGAAGACACAAGCCTGAAGATGATGAATGAGACTTCATTGAAACATCGCCTAGATACTTCCAATCTTATGTGGGAGAAAACTCGAATAACCAAAGATCCACATACAAATACCCGTGAGAACCTCAGAAAATAAATAAATATATATATTCAGCTTTGTTCAGGTATTTTCCCACGTCATTATAGTTGTGCTTTTTAAAGTTGTAGCAACGTTTCGGCAACTTTAAAAGCACAACTATAATGACATGGGAAAATACCTGAACAAAGCTGAATACCATACATGTAAGTACCCGCGAAAACTTAAACAAACAAACAAACAAACACACACACACACACATATATATATGTTTTCTTAAAATTTATATTTATATATATATAAATATATAAATATAAAGATATATAAATATATATAAATATAAATACTTAGAAAGAAATGATAAAAACTGGATATCCTTGGCCTGCCTTATTCTGAAAAATTTGAGGGAGGCAAAAAAATATTTATTTACCTTTGTTTATTCAAAACATATATATGGCCATCCAACTCAAACAAAGCAACTTTGGATGGGTGTATAAAATCATTAAACAAAAATACAAAAGGAGAACAGTATGTGCCACTAAAACAAAATAAAACAGTTTAATGGTTTGTTGTATTCTATCAAACGTGACCTCTGCTTATCTTGACTGAAGTGCTGGGATTTTAACTGCTTAAAGTTCTTACTGTAATGGTTCACTTTTAGCAAAGGCAAGTCAGGGGTTAGGTAATCTACATGGTGCTTTAAAAAAAAAAGCTGGGAGCAAGGAAAGCAGATTAATTTGTAAGATGCAATTTTACTTTTGTAAGTGAAAAAATAGTATTATTTCCAAGTGGTGGCGATGATGATGGTATGCTGCAGCCCATGCAATACAATAATCAATATAAATTTTCCTAATACTACCAAAACTTTAGTATAATCTACAGTGAATAATGCGTTAAGTTTTCTGGCTTCATAAATGTCCATCATAACAAAGCATTTTTATGGCTTTTTAACAATAAGGTACTGGAGGCAGTAATTAATTAGGCATAAGTCAAACCAGTTGCTGCTTATGGACTTAAGCAGCTTGTGAATGTTGATGCATGTGAGAATATTATTTGAATAGCATGATAGTAAGATTTTTTTCATTTTTTTGTTCAGGTACAGCAACTGGTGATCCCATGTTTCCCAAGATCCAGTGGCCTCCCAAAAGCCTCTGTTCTTCGTGCCATTACACCCCAACTGACAGTTCTTTGCAGGATGGGAACAAGTTTATGTGGGATGAGAACCGAGTCTTGATGTTTCTCAAATGGCATTTTTCTGAAAAAAATATTTACATGGATTCTCCCCTGGAGCATCCAACAAGAAATGGTCGAAATGTTGCTCAGCAAAATTATGAAGCTGAGTGGAAGCTGGAAGAGGGAGGAAGAGGAGAAGAGAATGACCAGGGTAATCAAAAAGAGCCAGATGAAGACAAGAAAACAGAGCAGCTAGAGACTGGGAAAGTAGAAAAGAAGAAATTTGATTTGGGAAAACCTGGTTCTCCAGAGCTGCATAAACCAAGCATTGTCAAGATGAGCACAAAGGCAAAAGAAATGGTGGAGGATATTGTTGATCTTGATACATTTAGTGAGCAGCATTTTAAGAGCAAAGCTTTGAAGCCGGCAAGACAGAGTAGCATCAGAGAGAGGCGGACTAAAAGGGACACTCGGCTGTTCCTGATGGAGAATGAGGGCCGACACTCACTTGATTATATTAGAGAGTCCCTGAGGCATAAGAACTTGGGAGCCAAACGGTTCTCTGGCATCCAAGTGGAAAAGGAGAATACTTCGAGGAAAAACCGGTGGATCTATATCCTGGGAATGGGTTTCTCCCGGTTGGATGTCAGCTTGTGTGTTCTCTTGTATTTGCTTTCTTCTGTCTGCCTGTTGGGCATGTACACCTTCTTCCGCATGCGCATGAGTTACCGCAAGGCCCGGTTAGGCTACTCATTGACATGAAATTGAAGGAGAGGTACAGTAGCCATTAGATAATGGAAGGAGTATGTGCATATCAGCTTGATGTGGTGATCTTTCACTAAACTAACAATTCCTATACTGAATATACACAGATGCAAAAATACACAGATGATATATTGGTTGTGAAGGGTGCAAATTAGTAGAGTATGCTATTGGATCTCCTAAAATGCATGGAAATTGCTACTTTTATATTTGAAAGAGTACCTAGTGAACAGACAGATCTGTTTTGTCCCAGTTGCCAGATCATTTTTATACAATTGTGATTCTGTACCAGAATAAAATAGCTGAGTGTAGTGCCAAAAGAGGCATGGGGTCATATTTCAGAGCACATGGTGACAGGCTGATTGTCTGAGGAATCAGGAGCTCTTTATTGTTTTTGGTTTTTGGTGGCGGGAGAGCATTAAATAAACAAAGGATTCAGATCTCATTAGATAAATGTAGTATGATCCTCTTTTCAATAGTCAGAATTCAATGCAAATACTGTTGCTGTTTTAAGAAGAAAAAAGCACGATGAGTTTAGGACCAGCAACAAAGGGGCACTTCTGAAATCTTTGTGCCTTGTCCAAATCCTGTAACATTGTGAAGGAACCTAGATATACAAGCAGCCTAAAACATTGTGCTGGAAGATCTCTTGAACACTCTTAATCTCTTTTCCAAAGCTTCTGTGCCACCATAAAATTACCATTGGTAAAACCAGCCCTACGGTGTTCTTTGCCAATGGCGGTAAACAAGCAAATAAAAAAGAATTAAGTTCTCCTTTCCATACCCATCTAAAATATAAATTGAGGGAGTTTGCTCAGCCTTCTGCATGACTTCTTAGGGTTCTGTGTAGAATATACTTTTGCCTGTATTTCCCATGCAGTCTAGCTTTTTCCCTTGATCAGATGACAGAAAACAAAACAGCCCTTGAAGTTTTTGAACTTGAACTCCTAGTGTAAAGAATTAAAAGCGGCTGGCAATAAGTTCAGGTCAAGACTGTGCAGTGGAATAGATAGATCAGTGTGAGTCAAAACCTCCTAACCAGGGTAGCAGTTTTTACTAGCTGCTGTTTCTTTCAGTCCTTTCACTGTGTCCTTTGTCTTTTTCTCCATATCCTGGTAGCTTCAGCTTTGATGCCCTTCCCTTTTTTTATCCTACTCTGTAAACCATGGGTGTCAAACTGGCCGTATCACGTGATGTATTGCGAGGTGTTTTCCTTTGTGGAGCCGGGGTGGACATGGCCTGCATGTGATGCATGCGGCCTGCCATTTTGATTACCCCTGCTGTAAACTTACATCTCTTCTAGTTTTTTTAACCAGGTGATCTGTATCTTTATACATAATAAGAGAGAAGAAGTGAAAGCAAAGATGCATTTTTAGGAGTGCAGCTACCACTCCCTGAGCCACGAGTCAATGATTTTTGAAATTATTAGAATTATCCCTGTTGGGGCACCTACATTCAATTGGAAAGAATTCTGGAGGAGAGAGAATTAATCAGGACCTCTAAGGATCCTTTTGGCCATTAAGTTTGATTGCTGAGGATTACTTTCCAATTGTTTCTGAGCTGCCTCAGTGTGGAAAGAAGTGTGGAATAGCCTAGTCTTGTTTAAAAAGAAAGAAGTTATTGATAAATCAGATAAAAACATTAATCTAGCAAGATTTCTCCACTGGGGAAGAATGATAAGACTTTAGAAGGTAGAAGACAAATGATACACCTAGATGTCTAATAAAATATTGCAAATTCCTATTTGTTGCATTTCCACCTGGTACCATTACCCTAGGACAGGGGCGTTAAACTCCAGCCCGTGGGTCAGATCCTGCCCCTGGGGTGCTTAGATCTGGCCTGCGGGGCCACCCTGGAAACAGCGAAGGACCAGTCCACGTGCCTCTGCCAGCAAAAACGGAGCTTGAGAGGCCTGTGTGCGGCCCTTCTGAGGTCTGTTTTCACTGGCAGGGGGCTGCAGGAGGTCGTCACGGCCGAAAATGGAGTTCACAAGCCCATTTTTGCTGGCAGAGTGCTCCGACCACCACAGGCGCCCCGAACCTGAGTGACTTCAACCTGGCCACACCCACCCTGGCCCCAGAGGTCAAACACAACCCTGATGCAGCCCTCAATGGAATCGAGTTTGACGCCCCTGCCCTAGGACAAGGATAAGCAACTATGGCAACTTTACAACCTGTGGACTTCAGCACCTAGAATTCTGGGAGTTGAAATCCACAGGTTGTAAAGTTGCCATAGTTGCTCACCCATATACTAGGAGGAAAGTGACTCTACTTGGCATTTAGAAAAATGGAAAAATATGTAGCACAGGAAGATATTATTGAAGGTGCATTCCTCAGAAACTGACTCCCCGCCCCCCCGAGTGCTACTTTTATCTTGGTTTGTCTCCTGTTGTCTTTGCAGGTGGATATTCATCTTTATGCAAGTGCCTTCTGAAACTTTATCCAGTCCAAGAGAGCTAATATGAGTAGGGCTTCAATAGTCTGTGATTGAAACCTCACGTACAAATCTTATCTGATTGTCAGATGTCTCCCCTCAAATTTAATCTTCTATCATAGATGATAGGTAGGTAGATAGGTATGTAGATAGATGGATGGATCTATTGATTGTAGCTCAAGCAATAGATGATTGATGACAACAAAATTGATGCAGACTACTTGTATAAGTATTTAAAATCTACAAGAAATATGTATTGATATTACTCTTGGAATATCCGGAATATTTTCCTGGTAACCCTAACAGAAATTAAGGAGGAATAAATTTTCAAATACATCTTCCATTTTGGCTATTGAGCAATACTAGTAATTTTATTCAGCTTTATTTTCAATCCTGCTTTGGTATTTTGAAATAAACTAGTCTAAAAAGTAGTATCTTGACAAAACATCTGAAGGGACTTAATCATTAGTATCCCTCAATTTATTACATTTTTCCAGCTCATCAGGGATTGGATTTCTCATTTTATTAAGATCAGAGAAAGCCATGGTCTCTTTTGTAAGTCCAGTAAGAAAAAGTTATTTTTCTGATTTAAATGTATATCTTTTGGCAGTAAAATATCCAATTTCATTTGCATATTCAGTATATCTTTATATATTTTTCTGCTTGACACAGTTAAGTCCACATTCTAATTATTTCATATTTGTCCATTGTAGTTTATTCTTTTTGTCTAACTTCATTGTCCTATGTTCCCTTATATCAAAAACTTTGAAGACCAATATTCAAAAACATGCATTAAAGCTTGTTGCTCCATTATTTATTTCTTTGTTAACAAAATGAATGTATTATCCTCTAGCTTCCTCTGATGTCAAGCCTTCAAGGTCTCATCATCATGTTTCCTCTTTAAAAAAGCCCAAACAATCACCAATTCCAACAAGATGAATTCTTTTAATTAATTCAGAATTGTAATTCCAAGTCTATCTGAACTTTTAATCCTTGTTACCATTCCAAAAGCATACTCTATACATCTTTTTGCCATTTAATTTAAAAAATCAATATTTTTCCAGAGTCTTTAAAATCATATTTAAAACATCTTTCTCCAAAGAAAAGGCAACTCACTCAATGAATACAGCAAATATTTTCAGGACAATAAAAGAAATAATCCCAAAAGTGGTTAAGAAATTAGGGTCAAGCAGGCTTTATGTCTTGAAAAGGCTGTGTTACATACAATTATGAGCTTGATAATTTGGTATCCTTTAACTCTCAGCCACTCAATTTATAAGATGACCATGAAACAACTGTTCCCTGTGATTTACCCACAAGGAGCTGCTGTCTGGAGTCACATGGATTATCTCAACAATCTCGCCTTCCAGAGAGATTTTGCTGGTCTAGATCCATTATTCAGCCACAAATTTCTTTGTGCACCTGGTCCTGCTGTCAACAGAATACTTTTCAACCTCAGGAACTTGCTGTCTGAGGTAATAGTATAATTAAAATAGAGAAACGAAGGGTCATTGAAATTACTACCCCCAATTAAAATGTTATGGTCTATCGGTCAAAGACTTAACTATGAATCATATTTGCACTAAATGAGAAACTAGAGACTTTTCCAGGTAGCATATAGTTCTGAACTGTCTGGTTCCATGTTGTAGAAAAAAAATTCTGAAAATTTTGAAAGACAGCTTTTTAATATAACAAGATATTTCTTTAATTGTAAATTGCCATTGCATTCTCTTATGGTTGTTTGCGGGTGACAATAAACATCAGAATTATATTTTGTTTGCTTAATGGTTGTATGGGTGTTCAAAGTAAGATGCAGCCTCAATTTTCATTCAAGTGATGTAAATGTCTTTCAGTGCATGGGTTTGTGGTAAAAATAATGTTACCAGTCTTGTTTCTTGTCTGTTAACATAATAGTAAACTATTAATTTATTGAAGGGACAGTAGGTTTGGAAAACTATTCTAAAACTTGTTAAATTCTTCTTGGCTATCTTCTGTTTAAGAGGTAATAATTCAGTGAGCTTTTTAGTCAAGATTTTAATAGCTAGAGTAGGAACAAATTATTCTACTCTCATGGCACATAGGAACATACTATTCTCAAAAACCGTGTATTACCTCAAAAATTAATTTCACAGTTCCTCAAGTCCTAGTATAGTTGGTACCATTCTAGTACAAACTGTACATGTATGAGATTATGTGTGCTTGGATAAGGATAGGGAGTTTAAATGATCTATCAAATGCAAATGATTAATAGAAATAATCGAAGTATTCCTAATAATTCTATGTATTCCTTCTTTTTCCCTTATGAGCAAAACAGAACAGTTCCCTTCCATTCACAAGTATATGGTGATAAAGACTATTAGAAGCCAGAATGTATTCTAATGATCAGTTTTTTCCTGTAAACTGCCACTTGACTATCCTATAGTGACAATAATGATGTCTTCATTCTTTATAATATGAAAGTCAAGACTAAAAACCAAAATCACAGAGTAGGCCTATAAGATTAAACAGTATGTCCTTCTTGATCACATATATCTCTGACTCTAACTAAATAAGAAGGAACATATTGTTGAATGATGTTTGCTGGTCACATTCTGCTTCATAACAAATTTGGTTGAGGCTGGGATGAAGGATGGGGAATCACCAAGCCATATATTTGTGCCACAGACTAACTGCCCAATAAATGAGTAAGTGTTATAAGTATAGTATACACTTAAGTTGCTAATTACATGATCTCACAAATATGCCTTTTATTTCCCAGAATTTCTATGGCAGTCTACCTCAAAGGTCATTGCAGAGATAAACTGTCCTTAACCATCTTGCCATATGATATAACAATAAATTTGTTGTCTTTTTCTCCTGTACCATAATGCTGATTGCCTTGTAAAGGAACACTGAAAAAGCCACTTTAAACAGGAAAGAAGATTTTTTTTATTAGCTTTTAGTTATTTAGATTCATGTGTGGCTGGTTTATGGATCTAGGAAAACTTGGCATGGCCAACTCGGCATGGCCAACTCACTGCAGGGCAATTCTCCCCGGGGCAAGAGTTACACTAATATTGAAGAAATTGTGGAATAAAGGATGCAAAAGGAGAGACAGAATGAAATGTGAATCACAAAAAATAAAATATTTTTAAAATTATTTGAAATACTTAAATTGAATCGTTGAATTGTCCCATGGTGAGTTGTCCCAAGGCAAGTTGGCTGCACCAAGTTGTCCCATTCCATTGGTTTACTGCCTTTTCTTTGTATTCTACCATGCTGCATGGAAATGATCCAAGAAGCTTCTGTTTACCCAAATTATTTGATCTAGTGGAATAAATTTATTTTTGCTAATAAATAAGTTTATGTATGTAGCCTGTGTATTTGCTTTATGTTTCTAAGATTATGATGCATTGCACTGACTAGTGGGAAGGACATGGGAAGTTTATAAACTAAATCATACACACACACACACACACACACACACAGATTACACAACAATTAGGTTTTTAAAAAATAGATTTATAAATTGAACTTGAAGTTCCTTCATAAAGCTTGCTATAAAATTCCTTTGTATCTTTGAAAAATATAATAAAAGATTTCTTTTGTTCTTTCTTTTTTAAAAATACTTTTTGTTAAAGATTACAATTGCAATAGTAAAAACATATGCTAAAGAACTAAACTAACTAAAGACAGGAGATTAGAAAGAGTAAAGTACAAAGGAAAAGATAAGAATAAAAAAGAGAAAAAATGACTTCCAGCTTTAATCACAACCAGTATAAACATTTTTTTAAATTCATTTCTTAATTTACAAACAATTAGGTCTTCATCCCCATCTCTTACGTATAAGGAAAGCACTGACATTTCAATCCTAGTGTCAGCAAAATTCTATTCAGAGTTATCAGAAATTACATTGATCAAATAAACCAACTTTATATTCCTGCCTTTTATTCTGGCAATTTTAATCTTTAATGCTTTCAAGAAATGGTGAAGAACTTGATTTCATTTCTTTTTTGCCCCTTCTCACAAGATTCATCCAACCTTTTAACAAATTTCTTTTGTAAATCCAATATAAACAAGTTACCAGATATGTTCTTAGTTTATTTGTAATTCCCTTTTAATTTTCAATGACAACTTTTTCCATATTCTTGTAGCCTATCATTTGTAGATCCACTTTCAGTGTCAACTCAGCTAAAACCTGTTCCTAGTTTGCCATTTCTTTCATAACATCTTTTAGACACATATTCAAAGAAGCAAACATTGCTATTGACATTGTTACTGTTAACTTCTGATTCCATTTTTCAAAAGTGTATTTCCAATGCTATAGTACAACATGTTGCATTATTCTATACTGGTTAATCAGGATCATGTATTCTCTTTTAATTAAAGTCTAGTTCCCTCTCATGTCCAATTTTTAAAATTACACACCTCAATTATGTTTTAGAAAAAAATCAAAACAAATCCATTTTCCCATGAGAAGGATTCTTTACAATTAATTCCAAAATCTTATTTCAAATGTACCTGGACCTTTAATTCATTTATAAAATTCTGAAATCAAACTCTTAACTATTTATTGTTTACTTCATACATTTAAAAATTAGTAAGCTTGTAGTTACGTTTTTTTCCATTGATTGAAGGCAGACTCACTGGCTGCTTCCAGATTTGTTGGTCCAAAAAAAAAAAGTCTCAAATAGAAAAGTAGTTAAAAAGCAATTTCCAAATGCAATTAGAAAAGTATATACGCAAACTTAGTGTCCTTTTTTAAAGTCATCAACTATAGACTGGCTATTCCTTCATCTCCCAGAACTCAAAATCCACAGGAGATTGTTGAGGAGCAAGTGTCTAAAACAGGAGTCACCAAACTTTTGGACTTCAGGGACCACCAAACTCATAATTTTAAATCCTGTGGACCAGAGACCCTGGGAAAATCCCAAAAAATATCTGCAAGAAAATTCCCCACCCCATTTTCCTACCGATCAATCATTCTTTATTTGGGATGGCAGGATACCGTCTCCAGCTCCATTCTCGGGGAGAGAGAGAGACTTTTGGCTTCCTGCAAGGAAAGCAGCAGAAGTCTTTCTTTCTCTCCCCCAAACTCCGCCAAAAATGAGTCTTTGTGAGACTTGTGCAACGGCGCAGCCTCTTGGAGAGGATGCCTTGCAGGGTCCCAAAGACTCATTTCTGGCAGAGTTTGGGAGAGAGAAAGAAAGACTTTTGCTGCTTTCCTTGCTTGCAGCCAAAAGCAGAAGAAGAAAGAAGCAGAAAGAAGCAGCCTGGTGGCCAGGCAAGGCGCGTGGGGCAAGTTTCCCCCACTGCCTTTTCCCCCTTCCCCTCACTACCTCATGTTGTTTGCAATGCAAGCGATGCAAGCCTTGTGTTCCTGCGGGCCACGTGGGTGGCACAGCCTTATGTTCCCACGCAGCCTGGATTAATTGCTTTGGGGGTGACATTTCTCTGCAGACCACCAAAATTTTCTCACGGACCACCAGTGGTCCCCAGCCTACTGGTTGGCGACCACTAGTCTAAAGCACTTGTGTATGATCTCCCATCCTCTCTTTGTCCAGATAATTTTGAAGAGACAGTTTACATATGGACTCTTCATTCTTCACTGTGGTCATCAGGCCTGCTTTTTGCAGAACTGTATTCAGTCCGCCATTTCTTCCTCCAGAAGTCAAGGATTTCCTTTGTTCTCATTGGGGACAAATTTGCAGCTATTAAAATGTATGGTTAACACATGAAGTGGCTCTCGTTTTATCTGTGAACATGACTGCAGAGGATGAACAAAACAGCTGATAAGCTTAGTTAGTAACAAAAACTGCAATTTAAAAATGACCATCCATTACAGAACATTTATATTTCAGAAACACAACACAATTGATAATCAGATGTCATACTGTTTAAACTGAAGATGGATTATTCGTGCAAAATAAAATAAAATAAATATTTTTAAAAGCACACAATTGATACTGTAGCTGAACACAAGAAATTTGACTGTCCTATGTGCTATTTGTCTCCTAACCAATAATGCAAAAACGGGATATTAATTTTCAAGCAGGAAATTTTAGTTTTCTTCATCTTGCACAGCATTTTATAATCAGTATATCAGACTTTTCCATCTCTTGTGTTATATGATAATACTGAAACTATGATAGTACTACTGAAGTTCCGAATGTGGTGCTAAGAACATCTTTACCCCCAGACAATTCCTTTGGTTCATGCCATGGTCTCCGATCCCCACCCACTGACATTTTCTTTCTGTGATTGGGCAAGGTCACCAGAACAGCTATTGTAATGAATAAGCATCTTCTTTCATAACTGCCACCATCTCCATAACATGATGTCTGAATTCCAAAGAGATCTTCAGTCCTAAAGCTCAGAGAGGCCTATAATACGATATTAATATAATATGTATGAAAACAGATGACAGGCTAAGGTTGCTAGCCTATGCTAGAATATTACTTTCATTAGTTTCCTTGATACCAATGTGAGGCTAGAGTAGCAGGAAAACATATCCTGCATGATATTCCCAACAAGTAATTGAGATGTTAGAGAAATGACGTTAGCAGATTCAAAATGGAAATCTTTTCACTGGGGAAAAATGTATTTTATGGCAGCTACTGACAAAGTCGTATAAAATTTAAAAACCTAAATTTTACTCCCATAGTTTATACTGCCAGACATACTAAATAAAGTGAAAGAGGCTTGTTGAATCATGCTAAAAACCCATTTAGTCCAGTATTCTCTTCCTATCTTTGTCAATTGGATCCTTACAGAGATCTTGCAAGTAGCAACATAAGTGTAAGAGCCCTTAGAAAACACATGAGTATAGTGTGAACTGCTATTTATGATCTGCCCTGAATGTCTCATTTCTCCTTTTTTATATGTGCCTGGGTTCCAATATAATAAGAGGAAGGAAGCCTGTCAATTTCCTTTCAGTTTCTACTACTAAGCATTAATTTTATATATCTAATATATCCCCTTCTTGGTAACTCAATTATTGTAAATTATAATCAAACAGGAGTTGTACCATTTCTTTGGACGCTTTGATTGCCTACATCTTTTCCAGCTCTTCAGTAGCCTTTCTGAAGTAGGATTGAAATTATGCATAATGTTCCCTATATGGCGATTCTTTGGATTTGCACAAAATGAGCTATTTGTGTCTCTCTTTGTATTCATTCTTAATCATTTCCAGAAGAGAATTTTTGCTTTCACAACACCTATACACTGGAGTAATGTTTCACCAAAGACCACAAACTTAAGATTTCTTTCCTGGTCGAATCATTGTTGACCCCTTCATTTTTTGTTCTGGGATGCATCACTTTAACCTGGTTCATGCTGAACTGCATTTCCCATTTCAATTTATCTTTCCCAGGTTTGGAGACATCCTTCTGGAGTGCTACACATTTACCATTTTGTTTGAAGCACTCTAAATAATTTGTTGTCCTTAGGGAATTTGATCACCTCCTCCCAACTCACATCCAGGCAGAGAGACAAACTGCCAATCTCTTTCATTGTAGAATGTTTCCATGTTGGGCTTTCCTCCCTTGTGCATCCAATTTATTTACTTTCAAGATAACTACTGTATCTGATTGCATTGAATGTGATGCGTCCATGTCTGAATTCCATTGTACACTGAATGGAGTCACCAAATGTTTTGTGTGCGTGTGTAGTGACTTATCTGCAAATGTAGAGGAACAACCCAGGAACAAATTGGACATCCTAGTGAAAACTAGGTCAAAATCCTATTTTTTCTGGGATAATCAGAATTTAGGGTCTACAGTCTTTCCATTCCTGTTGCAAGGGTATGATTTTCTAAAGATTAGGATAACGCTTGTTGTCACTACCATCCCCCATCTAAAATCCCAGAACCACAGCTCCCATTTCTCTTGTCCTTTTATCCTTGCTCCTAATCATTAAAGAAAATGGTTGTTTTCCAAAGCTGGAACTTGGGCCATCTGCTCCCTTGGTACTAGCTAAATCCTCCTGTAACCAATTCATTGGGATTACATTGACCTCTACTAATCCGGCCCTTCCCCTGCTGTAGAGGATTTAAAAGGATTACAGACTGCTGATAATAAACTTTATTAAGGAGGTGGTAGTGGGTGTCAATCCGATTTGATGCCTTTTTCCCCCCTTACATCTTCACTTTACTGAGAATCGGGGATGGGAGAACCAGATGTAAGAGGGCAACAGTGGAATTCTAAATGCACTGTTTGGAGAACTCTGTTTTCTTTACATTTCTGTCAAAAAATGCTCCAAAGAAGGATAAAAAGAGTTCAGAGTTAAGAGAACTTTAAAAGTTCCAAAAAGTTGTTCATATTCCCTTGCCTTAAACACCACCAAACAAGAAAATGATGAGATAAATTGTGATATAAGCTATATTCAGACTAATAAATATTTTTCATTAGGACATATTGTCTAACTGCATCAATGGAATTAATTGTTTCTACTCTTCATGTCTTTCTGCATTCCCTACTCTCTTTTACCCCATGTAACTCTCTTAAAGTTTGTCCTTCTATATCAACTATTCTAATATCACTACAGCAAGGTAAATACTCTATGATTCTGGCAACATTACAGAAGTGCTTTCATGATTTTTGCTATGCTTTCATGACCACCCCCCCCCCCATCAGTTTAACTGATTCCCCAGTGCAACTTCAACCACCGAATGCTTAACTTTTGAAATTAGCCAAGATTCGGTACTTTATTGTAAAGTAGGACTACTGGAGGAACTTCTGTCTGTTTTAATAAAAATCCATGTACCATAACATTCTATGAAGTTCAATTTCTAATTCCCTAGTCCTATTAGATAGTACATATATTGTCTATATCTATCTGTCTTTCTGTCTATATCTCTCTCTCTCATCTCTCATCTGCCATATATTAATTATATCCTAACTCCCTGAACTAGGTGATGTTTTTTTTCCTATTATACAGGCTAATGAATCAGAGGTTGAGAGGAATAATGTAGGTATAGGGTAAGAAGAAAATCCTAATTTTAGGAGGAATTTCCTTTCCTTTTTAAAAACCCATGTAAGTTTCCTTCTTCCTTATATTCTATCTCTAGTCTAATGTGTTTAACTACAAACATAATCATCCTTAAAGCCATTGCCTCCTATTGGTTGATGTTAATGGATATGGTGCCCAAAAACATCTGGAAGGGACCAAAATATCTTATTCCCATCAAAAAGGGAACAATGTGTTATGGATAGACAGGCAACTCTTTAGCTTGGCTCCTGCTCCTTCTACCTGTACCAGGCAGGATAAATACAGTTGTGGTGGAAGCCAACAGTTGAGGTTCTACACTAGCAGAAGGAAGCTGAGACACACCTTTTCTTTGCCCGGACCTCTTGGCATTCCCTCTTTCTCTGCTCTATTAAGCCTGAGATGTTTGCGCCTCTCCCCCCATTTTTCTTCTTCTCTGTAATATGGCTTGAATTTCTTGCTTATTATCAAGGTTAATTTGAGCTGCTGTCACTTTCTGTGCTCAGGTAGTCTTCATCTACTAAAGTCTGGTTCATACAGATTGCTAGTATTCTGAATAGGCCCGAGCATTTTGATAAGTTGTTGATATTCACAATGTCTTTTTTTTTTGTATGATACTTTCAATTATTTTTGTTTGTTCTTTTGCTGTTGTAAAATAAGACATAGTGTACTGTCAACTTACTTTAAGCCACATCTGGTATTTAATTGCATAAGAACTCCTGAAGTAATTTATGAGCTTGGTGTTGGAGTCTTATGGCCTTTCCCAGCTTGGACCCTATCCAAGCCTGAGCATGATTGACAACATTGGTTTTTTTTTTTTCCTCCGATGGCCCCTGTGAGATTGCTTTCCTCTCATCCCCAGCCTAGCCTGTAAATGAGACATGCCTACATCAGTGGTGGGATTCAATTTTTTTTACTACCAGTTCTGTGGGCATGGCTTGGTGGGCATGGAAGGGAAAGGATACTGTAAAATCTCCAGTCAGAGGTGGTATTTGCCAGTTTTCTGAACTAATCAAAATTTCCGCTACCGGTTCTCCAGAACTGGTCAGAACCTGTTGAATACCACCTCTGGCCTACATCAACCTTACTCAACCAGGGCTGAAGTAGCATTCTCACACTTTCCCACACCATCTAAAATCTATCAGGCTTTGTCTCCAATTACCTGGAAGGAAAGTCAAATGTCTGACATTAGCCTGAAAGAGAAGCAATAGATAGGGATCAGCAATGGAAGTAGCAAATTTCATGTTGGGATATTTTTTTAGAGTGGAAAGCATTTCCTTGCAGCCATGTCTCTCCCTTTTATTTACATATACACATACAGTAGTCCTACCTTTGCTTATCCTTTGCAGTAGCCTGACTCAGAGAAATTTAGCAGATGATTTTTCTTACTGCCTTGAAGGATACAGAAAACTTCGCTTGATTAACTTCTCAAGGTAGACATGATAAAACGGTATGGCGTGCAGCTGACCCTGCTAACTTTATTGTAATTAGAATTTTGGTGAGATTCTGATCCACATTCTGATTCCAGTATTTGAGATGCTGCCATAGAGAGGAGGGGGTCAAGCTATTTTCCAAGGGACCTGAAGGCCAGACAAAGAATAATGGATGGAAACTGATCAAGGAGAGATTCAACCTAAAAATAAGGAGAAATGTTCTGACAGTGAGAACAATCAACCAGTGGAACAGCTTGCCTTTGGAAGTTGTGGGAGCTTCATCACTGGAGGCTTTCAAGAAGAGATTGGACTGCCATCCGTCAGAAATGGCGTACGGTCTCCTGCTTGGGCAGGGAGGTTGGACCTAGAAGGTCCCTTCCAACTCTGTTAATCTGATCAGATCAAAAAACCCTTCCACATTTGGGGAACAGTTTAAGTCTGTCTCTTCTCCCCCTGCTTTGGTTAAGCACCTTTTCCCATGAGTTAAAGAAATAAATCATAGGAGAGGATCCAGACTAGGATTCTAGGTGCTCCTTTTAATGTCGGTGAAAATGGAGAAGGGTCAGCAGCACTTTATATGTAATTTTCTATGTTTCCATAGAGGGAGAAATCCTCACTCAGTTAAAAATGAAAGCTAGAACTCTGCGAGCACCCTGATGGTGTTTGTGGGTGCATCAAAAACTGGTCCCTACACACATTTAAACAAAACTGTCTGTCTGGGGTTACGGCAATGCAAGAGCGTACAAGGTTGGTGCCCACACCTTTGAATCAATTCTTGCTCTCTGGTGGGCTGTCTCCTGGGCACTGGCCTGGCCTGCCTCCTCCTCAATGCTCAGATTGATAAATAGGGTGCAAGTGGATGTCTCCTTAGCATTAGCAGAGCTGCCATAGCTGCCTTTCACCCTGATTTCCCCTGGGCACATGTCAGCAATAGCAGTAATAAGCCAAAGGTTTTACATGCCCACCCACCTGTCTCCATTTCAACGCACGGATTTCTTTCTCCCTCTTCAGCCATTTCTTTTTCAAAAAAAAAGTGGGAGAAGCTTTATAACATTAAAAGTAAAAACACATAATCATGGGTCATTAATATACCAGTTCTCTATCTCCCTCTTACATACGAGGGGAGGGGAGATGAATAGGGTTTCAACCCTAAGAATAAAGAAACAATGATCTTTTTTCTTTAAAAAATTGCCTGGCTATTTTGTCATAATAGCTGTGTGTTGTTATGTTCTATGCAAAATGCACGAGGAAAAGGGAGCCCTCTCTTCCACTTCCCAAACCGGGACATTTGCCATGTCTTGTGCAGGGGACAAGAAAATCCACTGACCCTCTTCCTCCAGCCAGCCCCTTGCTTTGTTCACCCTAACATTCAACTCCTTCTTAAAACCTGACCACCTGCCCCCCAGTCAGTGGGTCAATGCCACAATGCAGCACGTCCTCCAGAGTTTCCTCTTTTCTCTCCCCAGCTGTCCTCCAGTTTAACCCCAATCAATCTCTGTCCAGCCCCATTGCTTCCTCACCCGGCCCTGTTCCTGCCCTGTGCCCCCATCCTTTGGAATTCGCAAAGTTGCCCAGCCTCATCTGCTGCCTATTTACAATCTGCCCTGCCCTGCCCTAGACCCATTCAGAATTATCCCCACTTACAGAAATCACAACCAACAACTGCAGTGGATGTGATAAGTATCGGATTCAAGGGCAGGGACAGGACAGAAAAAAAAATTGTCCTTTCTAGAAGGCATGGGTGGAAGGGAAAAGATTCCTATGCCTTTCACAGCCAGACAGAATTGAGATTTTGGCAGCTGTAATGTGTCTTATAGCTTGGGTAAAAGCTTTACTTGTTGGACTTCCCTCTCTTGAAGAAAGCATATTCAGGAATCCTGGGTTAGGAAAGCAGCTTTTGGATTTCTCAGCATCAAATGTGTTTATTTATTTTAGAAAATAGTTATGGTCATCCATCTGATGCAGAAACACTAGGTGGCTAACAACAATCAACAAAGACAATATAATAAAACCCCAATAAACCAGAATCAAGATCACCATAATACAATAACCAAGATGCAGTATAATCTAGGTAGTCCTCAACTTACGATCTCCACTAAGCCCAAAATTTCTGTTGCTAAGTGAGGCATTTGTTAAGTGAATTTTGCCCCATTTTATGACTTTTCCTACCTCAGTTGTTAAGTGAATTACTTCAGGTGTTACATTAGTAACACAGTTGTTAAGTGAATCTGGCTTCATTAACTTCACTTGTCAGAAAGTTAACAAAAGGTGACATATGAGCTGAGATACTGTAACTGTCATAAATAGTTGTTAAACATCTCAATTTTTATCACATGATCATGGGGTATGCTACAATGGTCGTAACTGTGAAAAATGGTCATAAGTCATTTTTTTCAGTGCCATTGCAACTTCAAACGGTCATTAGATGAACTATTGTAAGTCAAAGACTCCACTTCATACAAACCACACAAATCTCCTGTACTACACTGGGCTCATCAAAACTTCCTGGCCCACCCTCTGAGGGGATTCAGTTTTTACAACCTTCGGAAGGCCAAGAGGGCTGGTGGAGCACTCCTGATCTCAGGGGAAAATATGTTATTGTTGTAACTGTTACTAATATTTAGAATTATTAAAGCCACTTCCCAACACTCTGTGTCATAAGGCAAGCATGGGAAACATCAGCATAAAAACAGAACCTCTGGATTATCTTTATATGGTTTCATGGAAGCTAATCCAGGAGATGAAAGAGAAATAGAAATAGATGGGACTAACACTTTTCTTTTACCATGGTAAGCTATTGACAGGCAAGCCTTGTAGGATGGAGAGCACATCATTTTGTAGATTGCAGATGTCTTTCAAACTTGGCACCTTTAAGGTGTGTAGACTTCAACTCCCAGAATTCCCCATCCAGCATGCTGGAAGTTGAAGTCTACACATCTTAAGGTTGCCAAGTTTAAAAGCACTGTGGTAGTCGATGTCCCACAATGGACATCACGGCAGAAGGCTTATCTATTTACAACATGGATGTCTTCATAGGACTGGGGGCTGAAATAATTGCATCAGTGGCTACACCTTGCAATTCTTTTTAATGAAAGTGCAGCCCCCAGCTACCCCAAAACAAAACAAAAATGTCACTCCTCTGTTAGTGGTTGACATTTTGTTAGGATATCCGTGCAGGAGTGTGGCAGAGCATCGTGATATAAATTTTTCTTCCCAATTAAAATATTTAGATAATCTAAAATAATAAAAAAAAATGGCTAGAGGTGAAAAGCCAGATAAGTGCTAAAGATTCAGGGTTCTGTCTGTTTCCAACAGAAATGCCTATCTTCTGCCCATGTGACTCCAAGAGGCAAGTTTTGTGGTTCTCTGTGGTTTTCTATATGCTTCTCAGTTAAAACTGGCGAGAAACCGTATTGTGGTCATCAGAATCAAATTCACCCTTTTTTTGAGCTTCTGCTTGTTTTAAATTGACTCTTTAACGTTCTGTCTGTACAGTTTGAGTTTTATTCGAACTGTGTGGTTCTTTTATGTAGCTTCAGAACAATTCTTATAAGAGCAACACAAATTCAATAACTAAATAAGATTAGGAGGTGAATAAGATTAGGAAACTGGTTAGGAACCAAAAAGGTTTTATTCCCCCCACCCTCTCTCAGAGCAGGCAGTCAAATGGCAGCCTCTATTCCATAATAACCTGGCTTGGAGCTGATCCAGGCAATTTAAAAGCTCCAAGTTTTCCTCATTCCACAATGCTGCTTTTTATCTCATATTTCTCTAACCTATACTGACTAAAAAAGTAGCTTCACACATTACAACCATAGGCATATTGCACAGTAAGGAAATAAAATTATACACCCTTTTAAGTGGGATCTGAACACTTCCAAGTTAGGTGTGCACAATAACTTAAAAGGCATAGGCTTGGTTTATTTTATGGCTTTCTCAGAGTAATTATTACATGCCTAACTACCCTGGACATTCAGTCCAAGGAGTGGACAGCAGATACAGAAGAAGAAAAAAACCCAAAAAAAGCAGGCAGCAACAGCAGAGGAAAAAGACTAACTTTCAGCAGGCATTCTGGCCTCAAAGACTGTGAAATACTGAGATTGAACCAAGTAGGAAAGATGAAATTGCCAGGAAAGGCATAAGAAAAATAGTCTAATCAGTGGGATTTCCATCATCCTGTTTCGTACATCTCTAGTCCTCTGGAATGCTAGGTCTTTGTGGTCAGGAATGAACATGCCAAGAGTCCCTTTTGATTTAATCACATTTAAGACTTCTCTCCCTTGGCAGTCCTCTATAATAGGAATGGTAACAGGGGGCCTCTACAAAATCAAAATGTTATCCTCACTCCACCAGTTTTATCACATGCCAAGCAAAATAGCAGAAGCTTATTACATAATGAAAAGCTGACCGGGACATTTTCCTCTCTCATTTTCATGTTTATTGATTGTCACTTGTACAATCATTGGGACATTGGAAGGTTTCTAGTTCAACCTCCTGCCTGGGGCAGGAATCCTCAGAGCATTTCAGACCAATGGCTGTCCAGACTTTGCTTGAAAACCTCCAGAAATACAGCCCATGTGACTCCAGGAGGCAAGCAGTTCCATTGCTTAGTAGCTATCATAGTGAGGAAATTGCTCCTTGTTTTGAGTTTTGATCACTCTAAAAAGCTGCCACCATTGGTTCTTGTTCTGCTCTTGGGCATTACAGAGAATATATACCCATCTATATCCATATCCCTAGAGTAGTTGTTTAAACGTTGGAAGACTGCTACCATGTCTCTCCTCGGCCTTGTAATATATAGACCAGAGGTCTTCAAACTTGACAGCTTTAAGACTTCAACTCCCAGAATTCCTCCTCTAGTCATGTTAGCTCGGGAATTTTGGGAGTTGAAGTCTACAAGTCTTAAACTTGCCAAGTTTGAAGGCCCTTGCTTTAGATTGAACATACCCAGTTCTTTAACTATCTTTCATGGTTCCTATCTTACAAGTTCCTAACTTCTTTGACAATTGTTTCTGCACTCTTTTCAGCCCCTTATCGTCCTTTTTGTACTTTTGAAGAACAAAAATTGGAACTGGCTGGGGAATTCTGGGAATTGAATCCACCCGTCTTCAAGCTGCCACAGTTGAGAAACACTCTTCTAGATGATTTCTCATCACCTTTGCCAATTTTGACATGCATTTCTTTCCTGCCCTACATTGGGCAAGTTCTTAGAGAACTTTTTTTTTTAACTTTTGCAAAAAGACAGCTGCAAAACAGGAATTAAGCACTTCAGCCTTCTTACTTTCTCTCTCACCATCATGGCAACTTCTCCAACCAGCAAATCAATGTCTCATCGCACATCTCAGCCATGTTATTAACTTATATTTCATCATAATTCACCTGGCCTTTAAAATATACCAATGGATATTTTATCACTACTTTTACCTTTCATATTCACCCAAAAATCTTTGGCATGGTTTTTCATTTGGTGTAACAAATATCCATCAAGACATACATTATTTATATATAATGTGCCCTCCCTTCTTCCCTTCTGTTTCTGTGGAACAAATTACTTCCTTCTAAATACTGTGTTCTAAACATGAGTTCCTTCCACTAGATTTTTCCATTAACAATGTCAACTTTGTCTGCTCTCTTCCAACCTATATTAGGATTTCAATTTTTTGGTCCTCATACTCTGCATGTTGGTGTACAGGCAACTAAAACCTTTATCACTGCCCTTCATAGATTTGGCTGCTTGCACTTCCTGGTGTATTCCTGAACATCCCTCCCTTCTGATCACTACGTTTGTTATGAATCAATAAAGTAACTAGCATAAAATGCAAAGTAGGATTTGAAGGCCTGCACACCTGATTGGTCCTCAAACAACGAACAGGGATTGGTCAGGATGAGGCCACTCCTTATTGGTTATTATTATTTGAACTTATCACAAAGGTTATTGGTTAATAGGGTAGCAGCCAACCCTATAAAAGGGTT